GCATACTTTCACATTTCGGTGCCAGCTCCATTTATAATACATTTTTACCACGATTTGTCTCTAGAGAACCTATCACCAACCAGTGTAAAATGTGAAAATCATTCAACTTTTATCACACTGTGAGTAAATACTCACTATCGAGTATAACTCTTATGAAATACAAGTAAATATCAGCAACCGTTTGATGCTAAGCGCTAACCGTTACCATTTAAAAATCTTGGAAAGGAGGTATAAAAAAAATGAAGTTAACACATGACATATAGTAAAAACCAATCGGGAAAAGCAGACAGGTTGCGAAAATAAAATCGCAAAAAAGCAGGACGGCCATTTTACTTTTTTATACCCCACGCAACAAGTTGCGTGAGGTATAAAGTTTTTGACCCGTCCGTCCGTCAGTCAGTCAGTGTGTCAGTCAGTCCGTCAGTCCTGTTTTTTTGTCAGCGCAACTCCTCATAAACCACTGCACAGAAATTGGTCAAACTTTGCAGATATTTAGGACACAATGTGTAGATGTGCATATTACCAGGAAATTCCGATTCCGTTATTTTTCTGGGAATTTCGGCACTTTTCAAATTAAATTTTTGGCCATATCTTGAATATAGAGATGAAGAGTTTGTCAGCGCAATTCCTCATAAACCGCTGCACAGAATTTTGTCAAACTTTGCAGATATTTAGGACACAATGTGTACATGTAGATGTGCGTATTACCAGGAAATTCCGATTCCTTTATTTTTTCTGGGAATTTCGGCACTTTTCAACTTAAATTTTTGGCCATATCTTGAATATAGAGATGAAGAGTTTGTCAGCGCAATTCCTCATAAACTGCTACACAGAATTTGGTCAAACTTTGCAGATATTTAGGACACAATGTGTAGATGTGCGTATTACCAGGAAATTTCGATTCCATTATTTTTCTGGGAATTTCGGCACTTTTCAACTTAAATTTTTGGCCATATCTTGAATATAGAGATGAAGAGTTTGTCCGTGCAATTCCTCATAAACCGCTGCACAGAATTTAGTCAAACTTTGCAGATATTTAGGACACAATGTGCACATGTAGATGTGCGTATTACCAGGAAATTCCGATTCCTTTATTTTTTCTGGGAATTTCGGCACTTTTCAACTTAAATTTTTGGCCATATCTTGAATATAGAGATGAAGAGTTTGTCAGCGCAATTCCTCATAAACCGCTACACAGAATTTGGTCAAACTTTGCAGATATTTAGGACACAATGTGTACATGTAGATGTGCGTATTACCAGGAAATTCCGATTCCTTTATTTTTTCTGGGAATTTCGGCACTTTTCAACTTAAATTTTTGGCCATATCTTGAATATAGAGATGAAGAGTTTGTCAGCGCAATTCCTCATAAACCGCTACACAGAATTTGGTCAAACTTTGCAGATATTTAGGACACAATGTGTAGATGTGTGTATTACCAGGAAATTCCGATTCCTTTATTTTTTCTGGGAATTTCGGCACTTTTCAACTTAAATTTTTGGCCATATCTTGAATATAGAGATGAAGAATTTGTCAGCGCAACTCCTCAAAAACCGCTGCACAGAATTTGGTCAAACTTTGCAGACATTTAGTACACATTGTGTAGATGTGCATTTTACCAGGAAATTTCGATTCCATTATTTTTCTGGGAATTTCGGCACTTTTCACCTTAGATTTTTGGTCATATCTTGAATATAGAGATGAACAGTTTGTCAGTACAACTCCTCTTAAACCGCTACACAGAATTTGGTCAAACTTTGCAGATATTTATTACACATTGTGTAGATGTGCATGTTACCAGGAAATTCCGACTCCTTTATTTTTCTGGGAATTTCGGCACTTTTTCACCTTAGATTTTTGGCCATATCCTGAATATAGAGATGAAGAGTTTGTCAGCGCAATTCCTCATAAACCGCTGCACAGAATTTGGTCAAACTTTGCAGATATTTAGGACACAATGTGTAGATTTGCGTATTACCAGGAAATTCTGATTCCTTTATTTTTTTTGGGAATTTCGGCACTTTTCAACTTCAATTTTTGGCCATATCTTGAATATAGAGATGAAGAATTTGTCAGTACAACTCCTCTTAAACCGCTGCACAGAATTTGGTCAAACTTTGCAGACATTTAGTACACATTGTGTAGATGTGCATTTTACCAGGAAATTTCGGTTCCTTTATTTTTCTGGGAATTTCGGCACTTTTCACCTTAGATTTTTGGTCATATCTTGAATATAGAGATGAACAGTTTGTCAGTACAACTCCTCTTAAACCGCTGCACAGAATTTGGTCAAACTTTGTAGATATTTAGGACACAGTGTGTAGATGTGCATATTACCAGGAAATTCCGATTCCTTTATTTTTCTGGGAATTTCGGCACTTTTCAACTTAGATTTTTGGTCATATCTTGAATAAAGAGATGAACAGTTTGTTAGTGCAACTCCTCTTAAACCGCTGCACAGAATTTGGTTAAACTTTGCAGATAATTAGTACACAGTGTGTAGATATGCATATTACCAGGAAAATCCGATTCCATTATTTTTGCCTTAAGAGTTTTGCCTATTATTGAAGAAACTTTCCAGCTATGTAATAAGGAAATCCACTGAAATCAGCTTTTGTAATGAAATTTTATGTAAAATATTTTATGGCCTTTAAAGACCCCTATTGATTTTGAGATCAAAATATTAATGATTTAACACACACACACAAAATCTTGGACAGTTCTCCCCCCCCCCCCCCCCAAATTGGTGCTTTGCCTTAAATAATTTCATAAGTACAGTATATAAACAAATTCATATGACTACATCATAATTTTGTTTCCATCAATTATTTAAATGTGTAAATGGACTTACACTCATTAACAAATCGAAATCACTGAGGAATTTAAATAACAGTTTGTCAGCATAACTCCTGCACTGAATTTCCTGAAACTTTGTAGGTATTTCAGACATAATGTATAGATTTGTATATTACCAAGAAATTTTGATTCCATTATTTATCTAGAAACTTCAGCCCAATTAAATTTGTAACATACAAAGATTTGAATGTCCTTATTTGCAAAAAGTTTTCATGTGATGATATTTTGCAAGTAATGCCCCTTTTTGAATTATACTGTGTATTTAAAATGCACTGTGCCATTCATTACGTGTTGCATTGTTGAGTTTTGGGGGAGCGTGGGGTATGTGAGCTTGCTCACTCTTTCTTTCATTGTACATATACCTAAAATGGACTGAGCCCTATTTAGATGTACATGTATATAAATTATAACTTTTCTGTACTTGTCATTTTATTGTATAAAACATTTTTGTACCTTTTTCAGATGTAACTAAGACATAACTAATTTTTTTGTGTAACTTTTTTGTATCTAATTTGAACTTAGTCATTTTGCAGAATTGCCACTTAGCATAACTGAATGTTTTTTTTCTTCAACTAAATAAATGTAATATACTTTAATTAAATCTTATTTTATAGTACATGTATAACTGTAAAAAAAAAAATCAATCATATGAATTAATTAATTAGAAATAAGCATATATTAGTATAGCAATACAGTTTAACATACATGTACTTAGTATATGAATAAAAAAGGTGGGGAGAATTGAGGGCTAATAAAGATACCACTGATTATGCACAATTTTTTTATAATTAAAAATTCTTCACATAATTATTTGCATTATTCTTTGGATTTTAGACTGTTTTATTTATGCAAGCATTATTTCTTCTATTTTGTTGTGAGCATTATAGATTATAGGTATGTGACTCTGTATTAAGTCTCTTTTACCTTGAAAAGTGTGGTTGGGTAAGAAGAGGAAAAGGTTGAACAGTATTGTTCCAAAAACAATCCCTCTTTGTTCTTAAAATGTATAGTATATTTATTTTTTCAAGGCTGGGGTGGTGGTGCCTTATACATGTTTACTTCCAATGTTTTCATCCATTGCAGTCCACAGCCATATCCACATTTTAAGTTCAACAGAAAGGACATGCAATTGAGACTTGATGTTGTCTTGTAAATTACATCTGAAGTTGTAAACAATTTCTCTCTCTGTGAGGAAAAACATTATTGAGACTTAATGTTTCTCTTGAGAACTGCATGCATGTACATTAGGAGTTGTGAATAATTTCCTTCTCTCTGAGGAAATGCAAAACTGCCAAAGATTTAAAAAAAATCATGTATGTCTATATTTTTTTTTTTGTTACTCAATTTTTTTCAGCAAAGGAATTTTGTTTACAGGCTGTTTGAAATCTTAACAAATCAGTCGTTATATGTTAGAAAGACAAACAAAAACATACATGTACAATATGTGTATGTTCATGATTGATTTATTGATTATTATTGTTATTATACCTCTACTGATTTTTCCCTATATAACATTAGATCGTTTGATGTGACTAATTCCCTGGAAATTGTTATGAATGGACTAATTCCCGTGCGTTAGTCAAGTGAGCTAATCCCTGCTTCGAAAGCTAACTCCCTGTCATCCGTAGTCCTCTAGATTTTACTTTTCCATTGGTATGATATGTGAATGGACTAAGCCCCGTGTGTTAGTTCAGTGAGCTGATCTCTGCTTTGAAATCACGCTATTTGAATCCTCTAAGTTTTACGTTTGTATCGGTATAATAAAACGGTTAAAAGTATATCATTGTGGGAGTTTGCAAAATTCCAGTTCCCCTCGACCAGGACTATTTCCCTCGGTTTCGCCTCGGGAAATAGTCCTGGCCTTAGGGAACTGGAATCTTGCTAACTCCCTCAATGATATACTTTAACTGTATATTAACGTGGAGTCGGCAATATTTCAGCCATATTTCGGCGATCAAATTAAGTCATTTGTAAGCAAGATTTGTATTTGTTAAATCAATGCCCCAGGGAATAGGATGGTGCCAAAAAAGGGGGTGAAAATTTAAGATAAGAATATATTTGAATTCAATTATTGCATTAGTTTTTTTTTAAAATTCTTTTCAATTTTGTTCTATATTATATTTATTTATTTATTTTTGCAGCAACACATGGATCAACATGGTCAAACTTCTGAACCTGAGAAACCAATTGAACATATTTTTAAAAGTCCAAAATTACTTGAGATGAAAAAAGGGCTGCCTCCAAACTTCACTGATGTAGCAAAAGGACAATACCTTGCTCTTCTGTCAGACCTTAAAAAACTCAAAAATGAACATCCAAATGAGGTATGCTGATAATGATCTACTACATATGTACTCTAAAATGGGTTAAACTTCTTAAGTATATTTTGCATGTGTATATACAACATTGATATGAAATTTAATTTATGAACATGGTTTAAAAGTATTGTACATGTATATCTAGTTCAAGATGTTAGAGATGAACAGAAAAGATAAAGGGGAGAGAAAAGAGAAAATTAATCCCTCAGAACTTCTCCAGGATCCAGCTGTGCATAATATTGTTAAAGTTTTACAAATGGTTGCACCATTGGATGAAAAACATACTGAGCTGAAAAATGAATGGAATGAGCTTCGATATCTTTTGGATGCCAGATATTTTCTGAAGGTGTTTGTATAATCATTTTGATCTACTAGTATTACATAATCCATGTTACAATAGTGCATATATAATGAAGATGCATGTTATTTCAATTAATATCAGTAAATAAGTTTAGGAATGAAATTTAAAACATTTTGTGAAGCCAATTGAAAGTAGGCTTTAATACAAAATCTAAATGTTTACCACTTTTATCAAAAAGATACTAGAAGTTACTTTCTTATATTTGTGAAGAGTTATTATCTCTTGTATCAAAATATTGTTACTTTATTGTATCCTAAAAAAACAACCGAGGGTAAAAACCCAACTCCTTCTGATATTTATGAAAAGAAAGAAGTTACACCTCAGCAAACCAAGCAAATGCCTAAATTACAGGTTTGGTAGATTTATGTAATCACTCATCTAATTCATTATTTAACATAAGTAATTAGCGACATTACAAACATGAATTTATAAAGACAGAAGACAGACTTTTTAACTCAACTGAGTCAAAAGCTCAAGTGAGCTTTTCTGATCAAAATTCGTCCGTTGTCGTCGTTGCCGTATTCGTTGTTCTTATTGTAAACTTTATACAATTTCAATTTCTTTTGCAGAACCACTGGGCAAATTTCAATTAAACTTGGCACAGAGTATCTTTGGGTGAAGAAGATTCAAGGTTGTTCAGAGGAAGGGCCACACCCTCTTCCAAGGAGATAATGAAGAAAAAGTAAAAATTGGGTTGGGTCATTTAAAAATCTTCTCAAGAACCACTGGGCCAGAAAAGATGAAACTTATGTGAAAGCTTCCTGACATAGTAAAGATTCAAATTTGTTCAAATCATGACTCCTGGAAGGTGGGTGGGGACACAATGGACAATTAAATTTTTACATAAGAATTTATATTAGGAGAAATCTCCTGAAGAACAACAAAGCCATTATATTTATGTGAAAGTGTCTTTAGGTTATGTTGATTCAAAATTTTCAAATCATGACCCCCAGGATATGATTGGGAAACAATGGACAATTAAAGTTTTACATTGGAATATTGAAATATCTTTAAAAAAACTTCTTCCCAAGAACATCAATTTCATTATTAGTCATATTAATTTAGAAGCATCCAGATTCTAGTTTGTTCAAATCGTGTTCCCGGGTGGTAGGGCAGGGTCACAGTAGAAGATCAAACATATAAAAAAAAAATCTTCAAAAGCCATAATTAGTCAAAGAGATATGGAAGCATCTTCAGTTAGTGTAGATTCAAGTGTGAACAAATCATACCCTCCTTCCCCTGGGGAGGGGGGGGGGGGTATTTGCAATCACTTCTATATTTACTCTTATCAATACTACACAGATTTTTGCTTTTGCTTATGCGATGTGCTCAGGTGAGCGATGTGGCCCATGAGCCTCTTGTTAATGTATCGAGTAGTCATAAGTACATTATTCATGTATTACAGAAGTTGAGATATTTTTTAGGCTAATAGTGCAAAATCTCCTCCAGTCCTGAGCAAATCTACAACACCGAGATTAAATACTGACCAACATCCTGAGCCTGACAGTAAACAGCAAATGGGATCAATTCCTTCATCATCATTTACTTATGTAACTGTTTTCAAAATGTCCTTCTATAATACTCCATTCATGACTTACACATATTTTAAACATTTTAATATATACTCCCCCCGCAAACAAGTTTAGGGGGGATATATTGGAATCAACATGTCTGTTTGTATGTCCATCCATCTGTAGACGTGATTTTGTCCGGATGTCTGAAAATTTGTACACTAATTATTCACCATATAAAGATGTGCACCTGGTATTTTTATCATGACTGGATATTTTTTCCTCATTTTATAGGTGTGTTTTTAGCTCTACTGGTCAGAGACCAGAAGAGCTTATGCAATAGTAAGGTGTCCGTCGTCCATCCATCTGTCTGTCTCTCTGTCTGTTTGTCTGTCTGTCTGTCAGTCCGTCTGTAAACAATTTTTCAAAATGCTACTCCTCCTACAGTTTTGGTCTCATTTCAACATAACTTGGCACACAAGTAGACGATACTAAGATGCATAATTCTGTATATCGGTTTTTGATTTCGATGAACGGTGTTGCCATGGTTACTAAAAATAGAAATTTCTGTGAAATACTTTCAAAATGCTACTCCTCCTACACTTTTTGATCTGATTTCAATATAACTTGGCACACAAGTAGACTATAACAAGATACATAATTCTCTATATCGGTTTTTGATTTCAATGAACGGTGTTGCCATGGTTACTAAAAATAGAAATTTCTTATATGAATATACTTTCAGAATGCTACTTCTCTTACAGTTTTGGTCTGATTTCAGTATAACTTGGCAAACAAGTAGACTACACTAAGATACATTACTCTTTATATTGATTTTCTGATTTCGATGAACATTGTTGGCATGGTTACTAAAAATAGAAATTCCTTGAAATACCTTCAAAATGCTACCCCTACAGTTTTGGTCTGATTTTAGTATTACTTAGCACACAGGTAAACTACACTAAGATACATAATTCTCTATACCAGTTTCGGATTTCGATGAACAGTGTTGCCATGGTTACTAAAAATAGAAATTTTCTTGAAATACTTCAAAACGCTACTCCTCCTACACTTTTTGTCTGATTTCAGTATAATGTGGCATACAAGTAGACTACAGAGATACATAATTGGTGTTATTGTTTTTTGATTTTGTTGAATGATGTTGCCATGGTTACTTAAATCAAAATTTCTGTAAAATTGTTTTAAAAGGCTACTCCTCCTACAGTTTTAGTCTGATATAATAATAAATCTTGCCACAAAAGAGACTAAACCAAGGATCATTATTCTATTTATTGCTGTTGCAAAATTTCAAGTCCAAGTGCTACTTTTATCTTCCTTTATAAATACAACCAGTAGAGCTACAGTCTCGTCAGAGACTTCTGGTTTCATTTTTATTGATTTAGTCATTTTGAGTTCATATAGATATTAGGGATAGGATCAAGAAACTGCCAGTTGGTATATCTGTAGAAAAATGTAAATTGCAGCTTAACACCAAGTCATTAAAACTAAAAAAAATCACCATATATTAAAAAACGTTTTATTATAGATAACCCCTACAGATGTAAGAGTCATTCAGAAATTTGAAGCAAGATTACACGTTTTTTTAAATTCATTTAAAGCTTTGTAATAAACTTTTCTAAAAAATCTTTGTTTTCAAAAGATGCATTTATATTGTACTACAAAAATGCAGACAACAATGCATCACTCAGCAGATAGTGTAAATCCATTCGTCCCTTGGGAGTAGTGAGTGGAGGTGCATCCAGTAAAAGATTAAATAGTGAGTTCAATTTGGGAAACTGTTAGAGCATCTCTGATCAAGCAGGTGTTATCTATTTCTCCAGGGAATTGGGCAGGAGAATTAAAAATCTGGTCTGTATCTCATTTACATGTAATATTGCAATTAATAGACTGTCAAATTAAAATACATATTTACTGGATGACCTGCCTTTTATTTTCAAAATTAATTTGGTATAAAATTATCAAGACTAATTTAATATTGTATAATATGAATTTTACACATATCACACACACACACCCTCACACACACACACACACACACACACACAGACACACACACACATATATATATATATATATATATATATATATATATATATATATATATATATATATATATGAAATAAGGTATCATTCTTAAACATCTATCGGGATATAAATACGGGTTGGTCACGAGATCAAATTCCATAAAGCCCGAAGGTCTTTATGGTAAATTTGATCTCGTACCAACCCGTATTTATATCCGATAGATGTTTAAAAATGATACATTATTACTTATATTTACATTTATGACTTATTCATATTTTATATTTTCCTGATTATAATCTTTAACGTGTGAAATGTTTTATTTTTCAAACTCAACGGCACGTATTTGATCCATTGTTTGCGCGTCGACCCTTTATGACGTCACTAAGAAATTACGTCAAACGTCTATGACGCAAGGAACCTGTGTTTATATGGATATAGATACGCGTTGCTTTCAATAGTGTTATATAAGGGAAAACATTTGCAAATGTAAATAATATATATATAAAATGATATATATCAACAAACAAATTGCAGAGTGTCATGTCTTACAAAGATGACAGATAGTTGCAATTGTTTTTTTTTTCTATTTAATAAAAACAATATGATTAATGGTATTGATGTTTTACTAGACTGCGGCTAAATAAGTTCATCATTAATTTTAAAAAATACAATGAGCAGTTAAATTTTCACACTCAGTGTTCATACAAATTGTGAACATCTCTTAGATCCATAAAATACTTTTAGTGACTTCGTACCTTTCCTGAAAAAGCAAGCGGGGAGTATTTGTCCATTATGGACAGTTCTAGTTTGACAGGTACTTTACTAAACCTACAAATATTGATTTATCAGAGATCATAAAACTGCTAAAGAACATGATCAAATGTGTAGCAAACCTCAGTTAAGAAAAGCTGCATAGTAACAAAGGTCTATGTTTGGTAACTCGGAAGTTTTGACTTGTGGTGTACCGGTATGTGTATGATATGCTTGCAGATATTGAGTCCTAAGAACTGCATCAAGAACTTTTGTACTTGTTTCCTGTATTTGGTTGGGTTAGATTGAAAATACTAAGTTTCTATATAGGGTGCATCTCCTACCACAGTATCAGCTGATGTTCATGACATGGTGCATACATTTCCTGGTGTCAGTGATGGACAAAGGCAACAAATCCAAGATAAAACAGACCCTGTTAAAGATGCTGTAAAACAAGATGATCAGCAGGTAAGTTATCCCATATAAAAATTCTGTTTACTTGAAATATTAAAAGTACATTTAATTGTGCATAAAAAAGGCAAATGCCAAAATATTGAAATATTGTCACATTTTCTGAAGGAGTGACTGGGTTTGTAAAATCAAATAGTTTGCATATTTCTAAATTCTTCTACTATGATATTTTATTTTGTAAAGTGCACATCAGGACAACACTTGCCCATTGAAGATCTACAAGAAAGACCTATCAACCAGCTTTTTTCAAGACACAAGGGTAACACTGATTTCAATGAGGATGCTCAAAGGGAATATCATGGACTGCTTCATAAACAGACTGTTTTGTATAAGGGCACAGTTGTTAAGGTAATGCAATATTATTCATCGTTTCATGGCTGAGGTGGTCAGAACCATACATTTAATTTCATAATGTGTAAATTTTAGAGAGCATGGGATAAATCTTCAGATTTCAAAGACATTACAGAAGAACAGAGGAAGAGATCTCCAAAACTGTTTGGTTATTTGGAGCATGCTTGGAGAAAGATGAAAGACAAATGCTCAGATTTATTGAAGGAGGCAGTGTCTGAATTTATTGTATTAAGCAGTCCTTCTGATCAACCTAAGAAACCTGAAGTAAGGCATTAGTATGATGTGTAATATTGTTGTTTGCTGTGAATTTTTTTAGAATTACTTTTTTATGGTTATTAATGCAAACAAAATGTAGGATTTTTACAGGATCACCATGTCTAATCATTTCTCTGTTTTCAGACTTTGTACTACTTGTATTGAAGAAATATGTGTAGTTTAGTCAGTGTTATGGTCAGGTCCACAGGGTTGCATAGTGATAAATTCTTGCCCAAGTCATGGTTTCTATTATTCAGACACATTACAAGGTTTCTTTCCCTCCTGCTTACTCAGGTATAGCTTTTCCCAACACATTAAGAACTTGATGACACATTCTTAATGCATGTAAAAATCTATCCAACATACAAGGGACTAAATATATTTTCATTAATTATTACAATTTTTGGACTTCACAAGACTTACATGGTATCAACATCTTATTGATCTTTACCTTCGAGATCTTCCCGGAGTCAAAGCATGACACAATTTAGGTCATCATGAGCAATAACATAGTGAAATTTTAGTACATTCCAATTAAAGGTTTCAAGGTGCAAATTTATCTTCAGGACAAGATTTCAATAGCTCAATCAAGGGTTCCATAGTTAAAGCCATAATACAATTTTAATATTTGATCTTTGACATTTGACCTTGAGTCAAGATCATAACACACCTCATGAGCAACAACAGACTTATGTTTACATTATTCATTCATTCTAATCAAGGGTTCCGGCATTGTCACCTGGATACCCTTTTTGACTTAAAGACAGACGGACAGGGATTGAATGAACTGAGTTTTATCCAGATCAGACCAGAACTCTAAGAGGGGATACATTTTCGTTCCATGTCAACTTTAATTAATTATTGCCGCACATAATTATAATGAACATTCTCATATTAAGTTGTTAATCAAACCATATTCAAAGTGAGGGAGATGTGTTTTTAAATATTTAACAGGTTACTATTATATTAAACTTTGATACTTTATATTGCACAGACACCATCCACCTATACGAAGAAGGACGATATCCTTTGTGCAACAACGAATGAAAAACTCAAACATAAACAGGGCTCACAGTCAGAGAGGATTGAGCTCAGACCAATAGAAAAAGTCTTTAATAATTTCAAGCTAAAGTCTAAAATACAAGGAGATATAGAGAAAGCTCAAGGACAATTTAGGTTTTTGGTAAAACGAGATGATAATTTTAAACGGAAATTTCCTGATAAAGTAAGCTTGTGTTTCTTTCTTTCCTTTTTAGCTCACCTGAGCCTAAAGCTCATGTGGGCTTTTCTAATAAAAAATTTGTCTTTTGCCGTCATTGTTGTTGTCACCGTCATAAACTTTTCAGAGTTTCATCTTCTTCTCAAGAATCACAGGGACAATTCAAACCAAAATTATCTCAAAGTGTCCTTGTGTGAAGAGATATAAATTTGTTTAAATGAAGAGCCACACCCACTGTCAAGGGGAGATAACGAAGAATGAGTGAAAATTTAATGGTATCTTGCAGAAATCTTCTTCTCAATAACCACGGGGATAGAAAAGTTGAAACTTATGTTAAAGCTTTCTTATATATTGTAGATTCAAGTTTTTTTTTTAAATCTTGACTCCCGGGGGTAGGATGTGGCCAAAGTTGGTGATCAAATTTTTAATGTATAGGAAAACAAATTTCTCGAGAACATCAAAGGTATGATAACTCATATCATATGGAATCATTCTGGGGAAGTATAGATTCTAATTTATTCAATGACCCCCAGGAGTAGGGTAGGATCACAATAGATGGTCAAAGATTTACATAGGATAATAGGAAAACATCTTTCAAAAATCTTTTTCTCGAGAACACCAAAAGTAAGATTACTGAGTCATATTGATATGAAAAGCACCCTCAGGAAGTGAAGCAAGTTTGTTCAAATCATGACATCTGGGCTAAAAATGGGGCCACAGTAGTGATCAAAGATTTACAAATGTATATTTGTATATAATGGAATGTATATCAGGAAAACAATCTTTAAAAAATTCCGTCTCAAGAACGGCAAAGACATGATCATCTTCTTAGTAATTTTGATATGGAGGCATCCTCTGGTAGGGTAGATTCAAGTTTGCTCAAAACATGAATCCTAGGGATAGGGTGGGGCCACAATAGGCAATAAAATTTTGCATACTAGGAAAATAATGGAAGAAAAAAATCTGCTGATAAAGAAGCGCAAGACCATAGTTATGCAGATGAGTGTTTTGGCTTATGAGCTTCTTGTTTTTAAGGATGTGCTCTCGTGCGTTTCTTCAGGAAATCTGAAATAAATGACAAATATGAAAAAAAAGGTATTAAATGATTACAACAGGCCCGTAGAACGCGGGGAGGGGGGCTTTTTTGAGTGTATATTTGCTATAGTAAAGAGGTATAGCGGGCTTGGTATACCAAATGGCCTACAATACTAGTATAGCGCATTTACAAATATCCACAATATTTTATTATATTAATTAAATCTAGCTATAAACAAATACAAACTATACCAGTACCTGACAAAAATAGTCATAATTATCTCAGATAAAAGCAATGAAATTTACAGATTTTGCATGGGGTATATGGAGATCTATTGAGTGAGCATTGAAAAATAAAGATATGTGTATTCGAACTAACTTAAACCAGAGAAATATTGAATGGGTTACGTTCATTTGATATCATAGTATACTAATATGTTAAAATCATTTTGGTTTAACTTGGTCTTCATATTAAACTTGATTATATTCTTCAGTTATCCTATTTTCCAAAAGAATCTAAACACGGGGCTACATTGTATATATACACAAAAGACATGCAACTTTGCAATAGGGTGCGTAGCGTAATGGTGTACTCTGAACTGTTTCGTGTTTGGGGTCTCCAGTTCAATCCCCGCAAGTTCCAGATTTTATTTTAATTATTATTATTAATCATAGTTATAAGTATATTTAGTTTTTTTTTTACTTTAGCTGGTTAATTTTCAATCATCGTATTTTTCATAATATACACATCAGAAATAAACATACAGATTAATACATTATTGTTCCAACTTGTCTTCTTACCATATACATTGAATTTAACGTAACCTGGACTTAATATAACATGAGGTTTTTTATTATTGTGGAAAGAAGAGAACATAAAGTGGAAAAATGAATACGATACTTAAGATGCAGCAGTATTTCCCGAAATGAATATAGTGGTCTGGACCTTTCATGAAAACAAATATCTTAAAAAACAATAAAGAAAAAAACTTGACGCATCATTCCGTAAAACGTCAAACAAATAAAATATTTCTTTAAAAAAAAAAGAAAAAAACTATTTTGTTTGTTTTAGTGAGATAGCAAATATACAGAGAGGCTGGTTGTGAAGTAATAAAAGAGAAATATCTTGTATCTAGTTAAAAAAGTGTTTCTCTTGAATTTATAGCCCGAAACAGCACATACAGTACCAACCACACCCAACCTGACAGAAAGCAGTCCCAGAGTAGTCCCACAACGGTTCCAGAGCAGTCCCACTGCGGTTCCAAAGCAGTCCTGGGGACTGTTTTGTGGGACTGCTTGGGTGTCAGGTTGGGTCTGGTTGGTACTCTAAGTTAACGAGGAAATCTTTTAAATGATATACATGTAGAAGCAGTTCCGCATATCCAATGCGCCGTCAAGTAAATCTATTTATAGTAATTGGTACTTTCCATTTAAGCCTGGTAGTAGGCGAAATATTGGGAAGGGGCGCTATACCTCTTTTCATTTAGATGCTTGTTGCCCCCCTCCCCCAACTTTTCGTTGCTGTAAAGTCGAGCACTGGCAAATTCCAAGATTTGAAAAAAATATATACCAAAAAGCAATGCCCCCCCCCCCCCCACTGTTAAATGCTACGGGTCTGTACAAATCAATTAATGTGTATTTTCTTTTTATGATTTATAAGATGACTGATTAAAAAGAATTCATTCTTATTCAAATACTGTGAATACCAACACTTTTACTGTCCTTGTAATGTTTCCCTCCAAATTGCAGCATCGAGAGATACAAGTTTTTATGGTAAACCCTGATGAATACACTTTCAGTCCCTATCAATGTTTGTATAACATTCTACGCTCAATGGAAAAGAAAGATCCATTATATGAAGAGGCTTGGGCTGAATATTTTTATCTTGTGACATCAGACCAACAGTTTATTTTAGCTGAAAATTTTGGGGAGGTAAGTATATTTTTTAAAAAAAAATCTGTGATACATATATTTTATTTGAATTTGATATATAAAAAAGTAGTTTTTCTAAAATGAAAATATTTTAATACATTTTCTTATGTTTTTAATTACTTCGATAATCAAATTATTTATTCAAAATTATATGAAACGCGTGTATTCACGTACATACAGTCATCAACATGACAACCTTTTTAGGTCACCTGAGTCACTCAGGTGACCTATTGCTATCTGTTCTCGTCCGTCGGCGTGCGTCGTGCGTCGTGCGGTGTGCGTCGTGTGTTAACATTTGAACATTTTTAGCTTCTTCTCTGAAACCGCTTAACCAATTTCAACCAAATTTGGCATATAGCATCTATGGGTGAAGGGGAACAAAAATGGTGAATTTCATGGTCCCTGCCCCCCTGGGACCTGAGGGGTGGGGCTAAAACCACTGAAAATAATGCAATCTTTAAAAATCTTCTTCTTTACTCCAGGACATCAAGCAGTCAAACTGTTGGCATCATAGTAATAAGCATTGAGCCCTCTACCAAAATTGTGAAATTCATGGCCCCAGGGTCAGGGGTTCTGGTGCTAGGGTGGGGCTATATAGAACATATAGTGAAAGTGCATTATTTCTTTGAAAATCTTCTTCTCTGCTCCTGGGTATTAAATAAACTAAATAAGTACATAGTTATGAAGAGCAAGAGTGCCTCATCCAAAATTGTGAATTTCATGGCCCCAGGGTCAGGGGTTCTGGTGTTAGGGCGGGGCTCTATTGATTATGTAGTGAAAATGCATGAATTCTTTGAAAATCTTCTTCTCTGCTCCTGGGTATTAAATAAAGTAACTAAGTACATAGTTATGATGAGCAAGAGTGCCTCTTCCGAAATTGTGAATTTCATGGCCTCAGGGTCAGGGGTTCTGGTGTTAGGGCGGGGCTCTATTGATTATATAGTGAAAATGCAGTAATTCTATGAAAATCCTTTTCTGTGCTCCTGGTTATTAAATAAAGTAACTAAGTACATAGTTATGATGAGCAAGAGTGCCTCTTCCAAAATTGTGAATTTCATGGCCCCAGGGTCAGGAGTTCTGGTGTTGGGGGGGGGGGGGGGCTCTATTGATTGTATAGTAGAATTGCAGTAATTCTATGAAAATCCTTTTCTGTGCTCCTGGTTATTAAATAAAGTAACTAAGTACATAGTTATGAAGAGCAAGAGTACTTCTCCCAAAATTGTGAATTTCATGGCCCCAGGGTCAGGGGTTCTGGTGTTAGGGCGGGGCTCTATTGATTATGTAGTGAAAATGCATGAATTCTTTGAAAATCTTCTTCTCTGCTCCTGGGTATTAAATAAAGTAACTTAGTACATAGTTATGATGAGCAAGAGTGCCTCTTCCGAAATTGTGAATTTCATGGCCTCAGGGTCAGGGGTTCTGGTGTTAGGGCGGGGCTCTATTGATTATATAGTGAAAATGCAGTAATTCTATGAAAATCCTTTTCTGTGCTCCTGGGTATTAAATAAAGTAACTAAGTACATAGTTATGATGAGCAAGAGTGCCTCTTCCAAAATTGTGAATTTCATGGCCCCAGGGTCAGGGGTTCTGGTGTTGGGGGGGGGGGCTCTATTGATTGTATAGTAGAATTGCAGTAATTCTATGAAAATCCTTTTCTGTGCTCCTGGTTATTAAATAAAGTAACTAAGTACATAGTTATGAAGAGCAAGAGTACTTCTTCCAAAATTGTGAAATTCATGGCCCCAGGGTCAGGGGTTCTGGTGTTAGGGGGGGGGGTCTATTGATTATATAGTGAAAATGCATTAATTCTTAGAAAATCTTTTCTGCTCCTGGGTATTAAATAAAATAACTAAGTACATAGTTATGATGAGCAAGAGTGCCTCTTCCAAAATTGTGAATTTCATGGCCCCAGGGTCAGGGGTTCTGGTGTTAGAGGGGGGGGGGGGGCTCTATTGATTATATAGGGAAAGGGCATGAATTCTTTCAAAATCTTCTCTGCTCCTGGGTATTTTTCAAACAAAGGAAGTGCATGGTTATGATAAGGAAGAATGCCTCTTCCAAAATTGTGAAATTCATGGCCCCAGGGTCAGGGGTTCGGGGGGGGGGGGGGGAGCTCTATTGATTACATTTATATAGTGAAAATGCTTAATTTCTTTCAAAAATTTTTATCTACTCCTGGTTATAAACTAAAGAAACAAGTGTATAGTTATGATGAGAAAGGGTGCTTCTTCCAGAATTGTGAGTTCGTGGCCAATGGGTCAGATGTTCTGGTGTAAGGATGGGGCTTTATTTATTTAATAATATGGTGAAAATGCATTTCTTTGAAAATTGTCTATGCTTCTTTGGATGTTCAAGACAAACAGAGTAAAAGTTTTAATATGCAAGGGTATTTTTACCAGAATTTTGAACACCTGGACCATTTAGTCAAGTTTTCTGGTCCTGGCCAGGGCTCTATTAACTTGTATTCTACTGAGCAAAGTTATTCCCCTTCATTCACCTTTGATAATTAATCAATTTACATAATGTATTTGAAAGCTTAATAGAATAAGAGAATTATGCAAGAAAATTTATTGTATAATAAAAAAAGTACTTTCATAGTTTTAATGACTTGGAAATAATAGATGAATAAAAATGAGACAAAAATAACCTATCTTTTTAAATGTTCTTCAACGGCCAAGAGAGGCCATTGTGAGAAGGAATAATATGGGCTTGAATAATAGACATTTTGTTAATAGTCTGCATGGGAATAGTGATAAATGGGGGGGGGGGGGGGGCAGATAGATACTAGACCAATTATTTTGTTGATGCTAATCATACTATTTTCTTGCTGTTGGGCAACAAAGCTTCATTTATCAGTTTATGGATCCTCTAAATTGTTGTATTGTACTCAGGTGACCGTTAAGGCCCTTGGGCCTCTTGTTTTAGATTACATTTGTAAATCTTGAATTATTGTTTATTACAACAGATGTTTAAAAGTGTATATAAGAAAGATATTGACTCAATGGTTGTGCCACGAAAATCGTATGAAGAACTTCAAAATGAACTCGTAGAGAAAATAAAACAAATAGAAGAACTAACAACAAGGTATACAAATGATATATATACATGTACCAAAAGAAAAGAGGAGGAATAAATTATCACTTAATCTTTAATGGTACATATTTACTAGTACTCCTCCTCCCTCACAAACACCATACCATAGTGTGCATGATTTACTTGGTATGCATTTCATTTATTGTGCTACAAAATGAGGTATGAAGAATAATACTAACCAGTGTATGAATAGATGGTAAACAAGCATAGGAGAAATTTGTAATTATTTAGGACTTAAATTGCAAAAATGATATTTTTTTGTCCTTTTGACATCAGGAAGATACATATTTATGCAAAATTAGCATGTAAATTCCAAATGGTTATGAAGACTAATATTGTTACTTAAAATTTATGTAATGTAGATAATTTCATGTTTCAGATTGAGTAAATTTGCAAGTCAACAACTAACGGCTGGTAATCCTAACATTGCTGACCTGAGTGATAAACATCGGCCCACTAAGATCGGGGAGCTGTATAGTGAGTTATATGACAATGAATGGTCGGAGGTGTTCGAAGTTATTAAAGCCCTCAGACATCCAAACGCTGAGGAGACCGAGTCTGACTACTTTGAGGATGTCCTTAACACCCTGAAAGATATTTTAATGGTAGGACTTGTTGTTATATATGTCGTACAGTAATCCTACATGTATTTCTTTATGTCTCTCAAGAATATACCAAAAAAAAATTTTCAATATATTTCTCAACCGATATTCTGATTTTAAAAGTAAGTATTTTTATACCCCACGCAGCAAGTTGCGTGAGGTATAATGTTTTTGACCCGTCCGTCAGTCAGTCAGTGTGTCAGTAAGTCAGTCCTGTTTTTTTTGTCAGCGCAACTCCTCATAAACCTCTGCACAGAATTTCGTCAAACTTTGCAGATATATAGGACACAATGTGTAGATGTGCATATTACCAGGAAATTCCTATTTCATTATTTTTTCTGGGAATTTCGGTACTTTTTAACTTAGATTTTTGGCCATATCTTGAATATAGAGATGAACAGTTTATCAGCGCAACTCCTCATAAACCGCTGCACAGAATTTCGTCAGACTTTGCAGATATTTAGGACACAATGTGTAGATGTGCATATTACCAGGAAATTCAGATTCCTTTATTTTTTCTGGGAATTTCGGCACTTTTCAACTTAGATTTTTTGCCATATCTTGAATATAGAGATGAACAGTTTGTCAGCGCAACTCCTCATAAACCGCTGTACAGAATTTGGTTAAACTTTGCAGATATTTAGGACACAATGTGTAGATGTGCATATTACCAGGAAATTCCGATTCCTTTATTTTTTCTGGGAATTTCGGTACTTTTCAACTTAGATTTTTGACCATATCTTGAATATAGAGATGAACAGTTTGTCAGCGCAACTCCTCATAAACCGCTGTACAGAATTTGGTTAAACTTTGCAGATATTTAGTACACAAAGTGTAGATGTGCATATTACTAGGAAATTCTGATTCCGTTATTTTTCTGGGAATTTCGGCACTTTTCAACTTAGATTTTTTGCCATATCTTGAATATAGAGATGAACAGTTTGTTAGTGCAACTCCTCTTAAACAGCTGCACAGAATTTGGTTAAACTTTGCAGATATTTATAGTACACAGTGTGTAGATGTGCATATTACCAGGAAATTCCGATTCCATTATTTTTGCTTTAAGAGTTTTGCCTATTATTGAAGAAACTTTCCAGCTAGGTAATTAGGAAATCCACTGGAATCAGCTTTTGTAATGAAATTTTATGTAAAATATTTTATGGCCTTAAAAGACCCCTATTGATTTTGAGATCAAAATATTAATGATTTAACACACACACACACACACAAAATCTTGGATAGTCCCCCCCCCCCCCTCCTCAAATTGGTGCTTTGCCTTATATAATTTCACAAGTACAGTATATAAACAAATTCATATGACTACATCATAATTTTGTTTCCATCAATTATTTAAATGTGTAAATTGTCATGTGTTGAACATGGACTTACATTCATTAACAAATCGAAATCACTGAGGAATTTAAATAACAGTTTGTCAGCATATCTCCTGCACTGAATTTCCTGAAACTTTGTAGGTATTTCAGACATAATGTATAGATTTGTATATTACCAAGGAATTTTGATTCCCTTATTTATCGAGAAACTTCAGCCCAATTAAATTTGTAACATACAAAGATTTGAATGTCCTTATATGCAAGAAGTTTTCATGTGATGATATTTTGCAAGTAATGCCCCTTTTTGAATTATACTGTGTATTTAAAATGCACTGTGCCATTCATTACGTGTTGCATTGTCGAGTTTTTTTTTTGGGGGGGGGGGGGCGTGGGGTATGTGAGCTTGCTCACTTTTTCTTTCATATTTAATGTTTTGTTCTCTTCAATCATGGTTATGTAATTTGAATTAGAATTTGCGTAATATCTGATTTCAAACATTTAGAACTTGAAAATTACTTAAGGTATATGCTTTTTTTATCTACAGGCTGCTTACGAGTTTTCTGCAGAAAGATCAGACTTGCATCTTGATGATCTTAAAAATGTTATGCTCCGTACAATAACGTGCAACAAGAAAGAAGTGGTAAATTAATTTCAATTCTCGATGATCTAGTCTTGAGATCTACAAAATGTAGATTTATCCGAGATGTTTTGCTAGTAAAATTATGCGTTGGACTCCAACATCTGATTTTGCTTTTAAATGTTGTAGTATTATTAACTTCGTAGGCAAAAGGTGAAAGTACACATGACAAACAGAAAGACATGGAGTACAGCCGCTTCATAACTGAACACGCCAGGAAATACAGTAAAGATTCAGCTGCCTACACTGTCAGAGAAGCTTCAAAGGTTTTGAAATTGATTGTAGATTATTCTTAACTGAATACCTCAGAGAAGACTTTATACACTAAAGCCGATAACCTTCATTTGGAATTGGAGATCTTTACAGAGATTGATAATCATGTTATTTTTTTTTTTTAATTTTCTTCAGGTATTCCAGAAGGAACGTTTGCATCAAATTTTCAAAGAAAAATCCGATGATCCTAAGGTAGTTGCGTACGTTGACAAATGCATCGAACTTACATGGTACATGCGTGTACAGGATCCGCCAATGTATTTACGCTGCCTTCAGAAAGGGGATCCCATCTGTAAAACAGAGTTTGCCTTTCATGGAAGAAAAGGAAAAACTACTTCTGTCTGTGTTTGGCCTGCACTGTTCTTATTTGAAGAGGGTCATCTCGTTACCAAAGGACATGTCTTGCCAGAGCCATAATTATTGTCATCTTTTTCTTTCTATCTAATTAAACAATGTAAATGATTGCATTGTCGTTAACCAGTGTTGCAGGTGTAGGAGAAGACTTCAATTCATGCCAAACTAAAAGCATTGAGCTATATACTTGTACATAGAATCACTTTTCACATCTAACTGGCATATTCCTATTTATGTATTTTATATCAGTCCTCTAATATTCTTTTTCAGCGTCATGTAAACATGTGACATGAAAAGACAGCATTAAATGGAATCACACTTTTTGCCCATTTCATTCTTATGCGTTTTTAAAAGAACATTTTTATACCCCCCCCAAACGAAGTTGGGGGGGGGGGGTATATTGGAATCACCATGTCTGTCCGTCTGTCTGTAGACGAGATTTTGTCCAGGCCGTTTCTCGGAAACTATTGCAAGGATTTGTCTGAAAATTTGTACACTTATTATTCGCCATATGAAGGTGTGCACCTGTTTTTTTCATCATGATTGGATAATTTTTCTGCATTTTACAGGTGTTTTTTTATTTTTATTGTGTGGTTTTGTCCGGACCTGTTCTCAGAGGCTATTGCATAGATTTGTATGATTATAGATTTGTACACTCATTATTTACCATATGAAGATGTACACCTGGTATTTTCAACATTATTTGATAATTTTTCTGCATTTTACAGATGTTTTTTTTTTTCATTTTTATTGACTTAGTCATTATGGGTTTATAAATGCTAAGGTTTGAGACATAGAATCAAGAACATAGTGTAGAACATAGAACTGAAGTGTACAAAAATGTGAACTACAGCTTAAAACTACTCATTAAAACTAAAAAAAAAAACATCACCAGGTATTAAAAACAGTTTTTACATTACACAGCAGATAGTGTAAATCCATTTTAGTAATTTCCATATTAGTAATTTGGCACCTTCTCTAAAAAACCCAGCGGGGGGTATTTGTCCCTTTTGGACAGTTCTATTTTTAATATTGCATAAAGAATATATGGATATTTTCGCCCATTTCGTATCTAACCGCGATTGGTATAAGCTAAAATTCGATCAAGTCAAAACAACTTCATTATGCCTGAATACATGAGAGGTATTACTACGTACATTTGTAAATGTGATCTTTATCTCAAAAGATGCTATCCTTAACAATTTTCTAATTGAATGGCTGTTTTAAAGACAATGGGGAGTTTCACATGACTTTAGGAATGGGGGGGGGGGGGGTTTATATACCTCTATAATATGCTATAGAAAACAAGGCTACATGTACATGTACCTTATAGAAAACATAGCTACATGTACCTTATGCTGTGCCCCCTTTATAATAACACATCTGATGATCTCTTGATTGTCAAGGAATTATTTCTTGGTCTCCTTAACTGAAAATATTTGGTTATGTCCTCTACCCCTCAAACTGAAATTGCTTCCTAGGGGCCTGTGCTACACATGCTTACATCCTTAAACCTTTGTTCCTTATGTTGCCTCAGCATCAGTTATTATAACATAAATGTGTAACCCTTATTTTCATCTACTACATGTATAATGACATGTAATAAAACTATATTTGTAGCAAATTCATTGTTATTCATTTGTCATTATCTGATTACTACTGATCACACTTCATTTTTTTTCCATACATGCCAACTTTTGAAAATTCCCATGGCGGATTTTGCGCGTGACGCCAGTTTTCAAATCTTTAAATTTGCAACATTTTGTCGTGAAAATAAATTTTTATCTCGTTTTTTTTTAATATTGATATCACTTATTAAAACAGCCTCTCTCACTAAAAAAGTGATATCTGTTTAGTTTAACAACATTATGTTCATTAAGAGACATAAATTATTGAAAAATGGGAAAATCTACAACTTTTATTTCAGTTCAATAATTTTTTTTTGCAAAGTTTTAGAAATATATATAAGGTTTTATAACCAAAGTTTCCGGGAAACATTTGTAAGATTTTATATCAATTTTACATTTTACACAATTAGAATTTCCTAATTCGGCATTATATTGAAGAAATATTGAAAAATTGCAATACATTGGGAGGAGGAGGGAGGAGATACAACGCACAATATTAACTTTGGGAGGGGGAGGGAGAAGTTCAGTTACTTGACATGAGACTGTTGTTTCATCTTAATTATTTTCATTTTATTTTAACCGGTAAACTTTACAATATTTTCATTATAAGCAGATAAAATCAGCAGCTATGCTTGTAGTTTTCTACTTTCGTTTTTTAAAAAATAATCAAGGAGATTAATCTGTGTGCATTGCATAAACAAGTCTGATATTATTATCCCGATTGACAAAATATGGCGGTAGGAAAATTCTGAAAATCGGAAATTTTAGGGAGTTTAGGGCAATTTTGTTTTCTCGGTCGAGAAAGTGGGATATAAGGGTAAAATCGGATCTCCCGCCTAAATGTGGAAAGTTGGCATGTATGTTTTTCTTCAATTTTGCAATTGGTTCCAGCTAGAAAAGCAGAAACATATTCTTTTTATATCCTGTAGAATTATGTGAACTAGCCTACATATAATCATGAACTTTAAAAAAACTGTGACGGTCAGACGGTTTTGAATGCCGGTGGCCAGATAGCTCATGCAGTTGGTAAAGCACCTGACTGGAGATTCAGGGCACCCAGGTTCGAGTCCCGGTCTGGTCCGTCGCATTTTTCTCCTCTCCTGTTACATTTGGTGCCGTGCCATGCCCTGGAAGTAACAGGTGAAAGACCTGCCAGGGAAGAGCCTGGGCTGATGTCCTTGGAGGCCGAAGATATTTAAGAAGGGAGGAATGTGGCAGTCAGAAGGATTCGATAGCCAGTGTTGGCACCTGACCGGAGATTCAGGAGTCCCGGGTTCGAACCCTGAGCTGGTCCGTCATATTTTTCTCCTCTCCTGTCACAACTGTGTTTTCTAACACATATTCCTGTGATTCGTTAAGTAATCTTTTGAGGGAGATCTTCGACAATGATCTTCATTTATAAACTGAAGTTAGGTCTCGTATCACGAACACGCGATTCAATATTAAATCCACGGCTCAGATGAACAGTGCTCGACGTCTTTTAACGTCGCTGAATCGTGTCTGTGTCTTCTATTGTGTGTGGCTTTATTAATTAAAACCCATCGTAAATAAATAAACAATGAAAGACAATGTACACGTGACCTTTTGATCATGATCTGCTGGTAATACGACAATTTTGTCTGACCTACGCATTCCTATATAACACACACCTTGGGAATTCTTTATTAACTTACCCAGTCATCACAATGTTGGTAGGAGTTTTTAAACAACTTCCAAATACTTGAATTGCCCTGTACAGAGGAACTAGAAGAACCCGTGCATTTGATTTTATTAACAATTAAGATAGGAAAATGGAAGCCCCAAAACGCATACCAAACATCGTAGCAAATTACTCAAGTTTGCATCCATTGAAATATGAACAGCACTGGCGAGAAAATATTTCGGACATTTTGCAAGGAATGCGCAGACTTTTACCAAAAGTTGATGTCGATGTTGCGGAAGCTGAATACACCGAACTCTTGAGATGTGAGCATTTGTTGAAAGATCTTCACCCAAGTAAGGTAAGGTTATTTTAAATCAGTGTAATATAGTTCTTACTTCATTACAGTAACTTTAAATAAAATGGAAGGTAACAATTATGAACATCTTTTACCTACATGTTTGAGATGAAACTAGGCGGTCTTCTCTCTCTCTCTCTCTCTCTGAGCATGTTGCTGTAGAAATTCAGTTTTGAAATAAACTATAAAGCATTGACTTCCTTTGTCTGGAAGAAATTGACCTTAAAATAACAAAATTCCAAATAAAGAAATTGTTTGATAAAAATCTTGCTGGTTCGTGCTTCTAAATAATCGTTAAATCCTAACCTTTGTACACACGCTTTTTCGTGTGTCAGGTGCTGGTTAAATTAGGTCTCCTGATATGCCTTGTTTTTTTTTTTTTTAGATAATAAATGTTTAATCTGCAGTGCCATTCTTCTAATTTAAAATATTGCTTGTTCTGTTTGCCTCTCATTAAGAAGTTGATCCTATTCTAATTCTTATATTCGGGCAAATGACAGTCCGCTAATCTTTATATATTCGCTACATATAATTATGCATCTTTAAAATAAAGACGTTAACGTTGATTGTGTTGACTCTATTTCTTTTTGAAAATATAGTACATAGCTCTAAAAAGAAGTCGAATGGATAACAGTAATCCAACTCATCCGTCAGAGCACCTTACTGGAGTTCTGTATCACATCATTCAGAACGCCAAAGAAACTCCCGTCAGCTACAAGATCCCAGCGGCCCTTAATGAGCTGGTGTCCCTCAAACGGTCAAAGGGGGTGTTAGAGGAACTGCAACTCAAAGAACAGGTCTGGTGAACAAAATTAAGATTTTATAATTTTGCACTAGTGTTTTGTTTCGAAACATGTATACATATATTTGCAAATTTCATGAAAGAATTTGTCTTAAACTGCACAGAATTGTTGAAGTGCACATAAAAGCAAATGACGCTTTTTGTTGTTCGTATACATATTTAGAAATATGGATGCTATGTCTGCTTCTCTTACTTAAATAGGACAAAGAAAGAAAATCTAAGAGATCTCCCAAAAGTACTCCAGAAAAAGAAAAAAGAAAGTCTAGGAAAGAAAAACAACCAGACTTGGATGTCAATCTGCAAAGAGTAGATAGGTCACCAGAAAGATCACGTTCTAAATCACCGAATAAACTTAAGGAGAACGACTGGACCATGGTGCCATTTGATGATTATTTAAAACTAAAGAGTACAATAGAATTTCAGAGATCTAAAATTGCAGAATTAACAAACAGGTGAGTCTTGCAATTCATTTCATGAGAATGAATTCACAACTTCGAGGAGATGTTTCTCATGACTGCAGTTGCTGATATTATGATAAAAATATGTTGTTTTTTAATTTAAAAGACATGTAATGTATTTTTTGTTCAATTCAAAATGATCGAAAATATATGCGTGGCAAATTAATGTGGATTTAGATTCCTTCAGAATTAATCCTAGGAGAAATCCGAAGTAAAATTGATGAGTCTGATTATACTTCTAGACTGACGCATTCCTTAAACATAAAGGAAACTGATGAAACAAATTACATCAGTAGCCCTGACGATGAAGGTCGCCCTACGCGTCTCGCCGAACGCTTTGCTACTGTTTATGAAGAGGAATGGAACGACGCATTTGATGCATTGACGATGTCTCTTCGATGGGGGGAAATGGACGCCATTTTTCATTTGCTGCGGATTGTCAGAGTAGGTATATTCAAAGGCATGAACCCAAAATTTTAGGGAAAAGGCGAAGAAATTCAATGGTTTTTTTTTTTAATTTTCAATTTCTTATAGTATATTTACGACTACTGTGAAACAACTGCGAAAGAGCAACTTGAAATGTTAGAAAATGTTTTGTACGGCCCTATGATTCACCCAAAACGTCAGTACAAGGTAAGTTAATGAAGGCAATGAGGATTAAACTTCAAGCTTGAATTATTATCTTTATGCATATCATATGCTAACCAGGTGATTTTTTTTTGGTTTTGCGCTATACCAGGTGACTTTTTTTTCATTTTTGTACCTGTTAACTACAGAGTAACGATGACTTCCAATGTCTGCATGAAGGCCAACAGCTACTGATGTCATCATGCGCTGCGAGATGCGCAAAGGACTTTCGAAAGGTTAACGCAGGAGTCTCCGTTCCTGAGCTTTGTGTGGTAAGCTTAAAAGCTAGTAGACCGTAGAAATACTTATTAGTCCCCTACCGGTGAAACCGGAGGGGACTATAGGTTTCCTCTGAGTCTGTCCGTCCGTCTGTCTGTCTGTCCCTCTGTCTGTCCCACTTGGTTTTCCGCACTTTTTCCCGAAACGCTTGCAGATATTGAGCTGATTTTTGGTATGTGAGTGTACCTTGATGATTTACAGGTCAAGTTTGCATTTCGTTCCGCTTCATTGATTTTTGATGGAATTACGGCCTTTTCAATTTTTACGGGTTTTCCGCAATTTTCTTCTAAACGCTTGTAGATATTGAGCTGATTTTTGGTATGTGGCTTTACCTTGATTAGTTATATATCAATTTTGCATTTCGTCCCGCTTCATTAATTTTTGACGGAATTATGGCATTTTCAATTCTTAACGGGAACCAGATTACACTTGCCGGTAGGGGACTAGTATTGCTAATGCAATACTCTCAGAATGCTTGTTACTTATTTAATGTTCATTACATGGCCGTAGGAACCCGGGGGGGGGGGGCACGGGGGGCCGTACCCCCCCCCCCCAATAATTTTGCCGATATGTAGATTAATGTAGAAAACATAGCTACTATATGCTTGTGCCCCCTCAATAAAAACGTCTGATGACCTTTTTTTTGTTTTCTTTGCTTGTCAAGGAATTTTTGGTTCATAGTACCCCCTCAACTGAATATATATGGCTGTGCCCCCCCCCCCCCCCCTACTGAAATTACTTACTACGGGCCTGCATTAAATAAAGCAATATCTATAAGAAGGATCGAATGAACTTTCTTTAAAATTTTACATCAATAGTGACACATGTTTTACTTATATTACATGTATGCTTGGGCAGTTATATGTATTTTCATATTCTCAGGACTTTAAAGAGCAAGTGGTGAGGCACATTTTCAAATGGGATCTTGACCTTTTACCTGCAGCTGTGCTCAATTTTATTGACAAATGTATGGAAATAATTTGGTTCATGTGTATTCAGGAACCTCCAATGGTGATCACTTGGGCAAATGATGGGGAGAGTGTTAACACCAATTACTACACGTTCTACTCACGAAAGGGAGAAATTGTAAAACAGCCCGTGTGGCCGGCTGTTTTCCTCCAACACGGCGGCCCCCTTCTTACAAGAGGAGTTGTTGTTCCTGTTTAAGAGATTGCCCCATTTTCATATTTTCAACAGAAAGTACATTCTTTTCTACTACCTTAATATAAGTATTAGTATAATGTGACTGTATGTTGTTTCTCTTTAATATTTTATTACTATTAAACATGGTTCTTAACTACTTGTGTATTATTACTTAATTTGTCTTATTCACGACTGCTTGTGATACATCAAATTGAAAACACGTCGTCTATGGAAGATTGCCGACGATAGATCTGTAACAGTGAAGCAAAAATCGTCTCTTAACCTGAATTTTACCTCCTCTCACACATGACAGAAAATATTCACATTTCACTCAATTTTTTCTATTAATATAATACACCCGCCTAATAGCGGCCACGTACGGTAGCCTAGTGGTATGGCATTCACTTTGTGATCGGGAGAACCGGGATCGATTCTCATTGGCAGTGCCGCGTCAAACCCAAGACATGAAGATAGGTACATGTACTATTGACTGTTGTGACGGTACATATTGTCTTTCTGCACATTTAGTCGCCGATGACAATATGTACCTACCCTCACTGCATATATTGTCGTCCTTCGATATATTTTGTCGCCGGCGACAATTATTGCCGAGATGATGCTTTTTTCCTCCTGCATAATGGACGAAGAAATATGCAGCCATGCAGCGGCTCATATTGTTAACCCGTCACAGGCGCAGTGGGCTCCTTTTCATGATCGGGCAAACTAAAAACCAGAAGTCTCTGATGAGACTGTAGCTCTACTGGTCTGTACGTACAACAAAGGAAAGTAGCACTTGGATTTGAAACTTTGCAACATGCAACAATAAATAGAATAATATATCTTAATGTAGTCTACCTCTGTGCCAATTTATATTGAAATCAAACGAAATCTGTAGGAGGAGTAGCGTTTTGAAAGTATTTCACAGAAATTTCTATTTTCAGTAACCATGACAACATCATTCAATGAAATCAAAAACCGAACTACATATTACGTATCGTAGTGTATTCTAATTATGTGCCAAATAAGATTGAAATCAGACCAAAACTGTAGGAGGAGTAACGTTTTAAAGGAATTTCACAGAAATTTCTATTTTTAGTAACCATTGCAACACTGTTCAGCGAAATAAAAAACCGATGCATTAAATTGTTTATCTTAGTATTGTCTTCTTGTATGCCAAATTATATTAAAAACAGACTAAAACTGTAGCAGGAGTAGCCTTTTAAATGAATTTCACAGAAATTTCTATTTTTAGTAACCATGGCAATACCGTTCATCGAAATCAAAAACCGATGCACTAAATTATGTATCTTGGTGTAGTCTACTTGTATGCCAAGTTATATTAAATTCAGACCAAAACTGTAGGAGGAGTAGTGTTTTCAAGGAATTTCACAGAATTTTCTATTTTTAGTAACCATGGCAACACCTTCATCGAAATCAAAAAACGATGTACTAAATGATGTACCATTGTACAGTCTACTTGTGACCCAAGTTATACTGAAATCAGACCAAAACTGTAGGAGGAGTAGCGTTTTAAAGGAATTTCACAGAAATTTCTATTTTTAGGAACCATGGCAACACCGTTCATCGAAATCAAAAACCGATGCACTAAATTATGAATCTTTGTGTAGTTTACATGTGTGCCAAGTTATATTGAAATCAGACCAAAACTGTAGGAGGAGTAGCGTTTTGAAAAATTGTTTACGGACAGCAGACAGCTAGACGGACGGACGACGGACACCTTATTATCGCATAAGCTCTTCTGGTCTCTGACCAGTAGAGCTAAAAAACGTAGACAATTCAGTGTGTAAATAATGGTCTAACAATTAGTATGAAAAAAGTCAGTAAAGATTCGACTTAACGATGGATTGAATATGCTAACAAGGTCATTGTATCGACCATAAAATTTGCCAAATGTTGATAAAACGAAACGGTGGATATCCTTGTATTATCAACTTATTTGTCAATAGCTTGCTCGTTTAAGAAATTTTTCGTAAGTAGAACATTTGGGAGACATAAACTCCATATGCAGACGATAATGGTATATTTCTATATAAATAAGGGATGCTGACGAAAGAAAAATTGAATTCAGGTTTATCATAGTGTTTTTGCTAGTTTGCTTTTAGTGTCTAAAAATGTATAATAGATCCAAACACATATAATGAGAATTAAACGTTGAGAACCAAGCCTTGTCATCAATTACCTAATTTAAATTTTTTATCACTCTGTTGGGAGGGGGTCATTATTCAACGGGAGTAATTTTTTAAAGGTTGCACTTGTAGAAAATTAACCCCTAATTTTTTTTTTTTTTTTTTTTTTTTTTTTTTTTTTTTTTTTACAAAATACATGCATTACATTTTTCTACGGTTGGGAGGTCATTTTTCAACGGCAAAAAATGACCCCCGGTTATTTTTCTACGGGGGTCATTATTCGTCTTTACACCGGCGACAATATGTACCGATGGACGACAATATATGCAGTGAGAGTAGGTATTCACCAATATGTGCCGTCACAGTTGTTCTTTCGCCAAGCGCCTGGCATTAGAAGTGAGAGTCCCGAGTCTTTCGAATGAGACCTTAAAAACTTAGGTCCAGTGCCACTGTAGTGTAGGCGTTGGCACAAGAAAGAAGTTGAGAACCCATACTGTTCAATGGCCCGGAGTGTCGAGTATAGGTCTAAATTTGAAGTTTACCGGTAGATGGTGGATGAAAAAATCTCAACTGGGACACACAATCAATTAATCACATCTGTCTTATGGCGTTTCCAGTCTTCCCATTAGTTCCTGCATGTTCAGGTCATAGCTTTCATTTTGCGAAGTTTAGGACTATCAAACCATGTAGTTTATTTTGTATTTTAGCTATGCTAACAACCTTAAAGTAAGTAGCAGCGATCTCATTTTGGAATGTAAAGCTTTACTTAGACAATTCTGTCTATTTGTGATCATATATTGCTCGCTATGAGCTATGCAAGGTGGTGCATCTTGCATGAAAACGAGTGTGTAGTGACCAAAGAGTATAGGTCATGATGACCTCATTTCTGAATTTTCTTGCTAGGTATTCGAATTGTGTTTGGATCATATCTTGAAAGTTTGAGACCTCTATCTTACCTTGCACGTTAGTACATTGGGGGTGGGGGAGAGATGGCATGACTCAAAAGTAGACCAGTATGACCTCATTTTGGAATTCCATAGCTGTACACATGTACATAGTCAACCGTACCAAGGTCGTATCTTTCACACTGTAAAACCCATTACCATCAGAGAAATTCAGATATGAAACAATTGTAGCTGCAAATGACGGTCACTGCTTGTGACTTCGATATGTATAAATAGATATCATCAACCATGCATCAAAAATTTCAACGTGCCGTGTACCTTTTCGGTGCACTCCTTTTTTACATATTAAAACTTAAAAATTTACTTGTCATTCAGAATGAAAAAACCTACTACACGTACTTATAAACAAATTCACAAGAATTCGCAAGTATCTATTCAACAAAAAGAATTTGTATTTGCTGTGCACATGATCACACTGTGCTGTTCAAAGTCTGAGTATTTCATTAAACATACTGAGTTGCCTTTATGAACGCAATTATTTAAAATTTCTGCCATCCAAGTTTAAAATGTAGAGCTTTTTTTGTTCTTTATATAATCAACAACAGAAAAATCAATAAAAATCATCAAATTCTTATCTACTGATGCTACATCAATTGTTAATAGAAAACATCCGTGGCCATATTTATAAATTATATTAAAAAGAATAATTGCCATTAGATGGGATACTTAAAAATTACAAACAGAAAAATAAAATGGAGACAAAATGTATAAGACACATGTAAATGTATCTTAAAGGATATACATACATGTAACTTTAAAATATTTTTTCTGTTCATTCAGTGACCTTAAAAAGACTTTATAAAGAGGTGAAAATAACAATTTTCTTTTATGAAAAAGAGTTTTATACAGGCAGTACAAATTTAAAGTGTCTTGAACACTATTATTAAATGATTTTTTGATTGCGCTCAGCATCATCCCTAGATTAATACTGTTGGGTAAAAATACATGCACTTGATAAATCAAAAGATTACAGTGAACGATTTTGCTCAATATTAATAGACTTTATTGGAATAGTTTGTTGTTTTTTTTTAATTTCCTTTTCTTCAAACTTCAGTATAAAACGCAAGAGTAGATTAATAATTTAGAATAAATATTTCAAATTAAAGGAAAGGGAATTTCAAATTACCTTACTAGGCAAAAATCAAATTATACCATATTAAACACGTCATACTGAACAAGTAATAGATTTCACTGCTGTTAATGTATACTAAATACATGTATAAACAAATAGATGGAAGACTAGATGGACGGATATTATAGACATATGTTTTGTCCAATCTAATAGATTTTATCAAATACAATCTGCAATATAACTACTTTTTAAACTAGTCGTATTTGAAAAGTTTACTTCATGTATAAAATCTGTCTGGAAAGAAAGCTTTATAATTAAAAAATAAAATAAAATAAATAAAAATTTAAAAACAAAACAAAAACAATGAGAATGCATAGTCTATGTGTGACTTTCACTTTTACAAGTTTGCGCAAAACCATACAATGCTAAGAAATGATATAATCAAAATTTCATAAAACTCGTTTTAAATTGACCTTAATGGGATTTAAAAAATTAGTTCAAACAGTTCAAAGTGCTTCCTGTTCACAAATTAGTGGATAAAAGATAAAGCGCTCACCTTAGGTGTAAATCAAGAGCTTATTTCTAACATTTGATTTCAGACTGAAACATATTTGAATATCATAGTATTAAGTAATTTTACTAAACAAAACAATAATTATTTAAAAAAAAATTTAAATGAAAAACACATTGTTACAGTAGATCTCTGATTCACTCTACTGGTGTAATTTACGTCTGTAAACTTAAAAAATCACTTCTCCTTGAACCAGCCATAGTAACGTTATATAAGAACCTAATTTTTATTTTGATTGTCAATATGCAGTGTTATCGTTCATCAAAAAACAATAGCCAAAATTAAAGATTCAAATTAAATAAATTAAAGAATTGTACCGTCTCAAGGTTCATGGCCACCTAAAATGTCAAGACTCAAGTTCGTTTTGTTGAAGTTGAGCAGATGCTTCGAAATCAAGTGCACGGCTGATTTACTCTTCCTTCAAATGTTAAAATAAAAAAATGAAATGCTTCAAATTTTTCATAAATGTAAATCATATGAACAAACAAGAGAGATTGCACCTTAGATCTAATTTTGATCGCGTATAAACAATCATACCTTCTCTGAGCGAAATTGGAGGAGGAATTCATGTACTGTTTTTCCTTAGCTAGTCTGATATACCATTCATTGAATACTGTGGACCAATATTTATTGAAATCATAGAAAATATCTTGGAGGGTAGGATTTTTTAAAAGTTTTATAGACAAGATGACAGAAGGTAGACACCCAACTATTGCATAAGCTCTCCTGGTTTTAAACCAGTAAAACTAAATATCTATGAAAATATTACACTTGATTTTTACCATATGATTGATATATTTGATTGTCAAGTAATTTAATTTAAGAATTATTCATTGGCAGGAAAAAAATATAACTAAATTAAAATTTTATGTACATATAAAGTTTAATCCTTGGTAGTAAATTTCAATTCTTGTAATAAATAATGACCTAGAATATATGGATCTTTACTGTTGATCTCTATTTGGTGACTTAACATTTGATGCTTGATTATCTTGAGTTTTCTTTGCCACTCTATCAGCAGGTTTAGAAGGTGAGGGGCCTTGAGAAGTTCGAGTTTTCTTTTCCTGTTGATTATCTGTCTCTACTTTGACAGCTCTGCCTGGAAGGTTCTGAGGTTTGTCAGCAGATGCTTTAGTCTTTGTTTCATTCTTTTCCTTTTTACACTGAACAATTCCTTTGACAAGAACAGGTCCTTTTTCATGCAAATACATTACAGGCCACACAGTATAGTCTATTTCAGATCCATTAACTGTGCATTTCCTGTGGACTGAGTTATCATACTGAGTACCTGACTTTATATCAAAGTCAAAACACAATGGGGGTGTCTGTATGCATGCCTTCCAAAATAATGATAAGCATCGGCATACAAAATTTTTTACATCTTCATCTTTAAAATCCAGCAAACCAGGACCCTTTGTTTTGTTCAGATAATCCTATGCATCAAATAAACATACAGATTGGAAATAACATAAAATTGACTCACAATATTTAAGCATTAACTGCAGCTGTGTGTGCTTTATAAGTTCAAATGAGTAAAAGTTCTGATACTCTAACTAGTAGCAATATCTTATTATTATTCATTGTAAATCAAGTATTTTTTCCATGTATGTGTGCAAATTTAAAAATAATTTGAGACATAAATGACATTTTTGATATTCCTGTAAATCAGAGCTATATATTGAAGTTACAGTACCTCTTCAAGATGGGGCTGTTCTTTCTCCAATAATGAAGTCCGTAATTCTTTGATGTGTTTCAACACACCTTTAGGTAAATGATCTTTTCCTTCTTTTTCCTTCTTGATACAGTAAAAAAAATCCACTTAATTACTTGAGTCATGCAATATATATTTACATGCATATTCAAAAGTTTACAGAGTGAATGAAATAAATTTATATTATGAGTAAGAGAATATTCAGTATCAGAGATTTCTTACTTGGGCAGATAAACCAACAGCTTCCACGATCTTCCCAAACTGTACTTCTGCCCTCTCTTGACAAAATTTTAAACAACTCTGAAAATCAAATCAAAATTTCTGAACTTTACATTTAAATTAAAAACCATCATGGATAAATATTTGCAACAATTGTACTTTTTCCAGCTTATATCTTATTGAAATTTAAAAAATTCTGATAACATCTACTTGAAAATTGTGTAAGCATATATACACTGAAATACTGAACTTGAACAACATTACTGGCTCTTTATCCCAGGACTTATTAAACTTTTCATAGTTTATTTTAACACAGTCAGTACAGATTTACAAGAAGTTGGCATTATGAGCACCTTTCTGTGGTGTTATTATAGCTTTATTGACTTAGTTCAAGAACAACAAGCATTTTCATTTTAGTCAGACCCAGGAACAAATTCTTTGCCTGAGGCCTTTAGGCTTAAGGCAACAGTTTGTTTCGAGGGTTAAGAAATGCATTCTGCCTGAAAACCCAGCTGTCAATGAATGTTTTTGTTTTGAAAAGTAGGTCAAATCCAGCATCTGAAGCAAGTCTGAAGGTCTGCATCCTTAGATGCATCATCAATGTACAGGTAGGGCTTATAGTTACTTGGGAATGGACCTGCTCCATAATGTAGGGCAGATTCAGCATCCTAACAAGTCTGGAAGTGCAATCCTTCACTGCATCTTCCATGCAACTTTTGTCCAGGTAGGACTTGTAGTATGAAGATGGGCAAACATAGTGTGCAGAAAGCCTATATCTTCAGATATATAAAAACCATATTCAATTTGTGAATGCAGTATTTAGAGTAAATTAAGTTCTCATGAAATTTATGAAATTTTGATCAACAAAACTTTTCTGAGGAAAATTTTCTTGGCAAAATTTATTCTTTTATCAAAAAAAATAATGTGGTATTCGTGGGGTTTGAACCTTTAATAACAATAAAAATCCTGAGTATCATTTTTTTTTTCGAGACTAGCACATTAACCACTAGACTACACAAGTCCTGATGAATAGTGGCATTTAAATCATGTTTGTGATACATGTATGACCCTTGACTTAATGGGCTTCAAGAATTTCTTGAAAAGATGCGAATGATATGTCATAAAAGTATATTTTTAAGTTATAGTGGGTCTTTGCTCCATATTTTTAGAAACTAAAACATGTATATTTTTATGCAAACTTCGAGAATTAACTTTCAAAAAAATGGAGCGAAGACCCACTCATATCAAAAAATAGTGTTATAGTATGAGAAAATGACTCTCTTTGCCCTCTTTAGTGTGTGTACAATATTTCATAAGCAAATAATTTCAATCTTTGTGAGATTTTTGCAAATTGTAGAGATTTTACATATATTTTAATGTTAGATGAAATATCAAGGAAAATTTTGATATAATTGAGATTTAATTTTTCACCTTCATGTTTGTCACACCATAGGAATTTCGCTGGGAATAGACCTAGGATATATAAAGTAAATTGGGAATAGACTTGCTTCAAAATATACGTCAGACCCAGCATCTGTAGCCAGGCTGGTAGTGTGCATCCATGGATGCATCATCCACACAAGTTTGGTGACTATATAGTTGATAGTTACCCAGGAATGGACCTGCTCCAAAAACTTAAGCATGGTCACTCAACTGAAAAATATATGTCATATCCAGTATCTAAAGCCTACATTCCTAGATGCATAATCTTGGCAAGTTGGTCCAAAAAAGGCTTACAGTTACTTGGGAATGGATCTATCTGCTAAAAAAAAAATTTAAACCTATTCAGTCATCTAGAAAAGGTAGGTCATGTCCAGCATTCAAAACATTTCTAGTAATGTGCATCCCTAGATGGATCATGTATAGCTGCATCATCCATGCAACTTGGGTCCAGGTAGGACATACAGTAATTTAGGAATTGACTTGCTTCACAATGTAACTCAGACTCAGCATCTGAAGCCAGGATGGTAATGTGTATCTCTAAATGCATCATCCATGCAAGTTTGGTGACCATAGCCTTTATAGTTACCAAGGAAAAGACCTGTTCCAAAAACTAAAAAAAACATCGTCACTCAACAGGAAAATATAGGTCATATCCAGCAGCTGAAGCCTGTCTGGTAATGTGCATCATCTTTGCAAGTTTGGTCCAAAAAAGGGCTTATGGTTACTTTGGAATGAATCTGCTTCAAAAAGTTAAACCTACTGAAAATGTAGGTCAGATCCAGCATCCAAAGCAGGTCTGGTAGTGTGCATCCTGTATACAACTTTGGTGCAGGTAGGGACTTGCTTAAAAAACTTTAACCTGGTCATTCATCTGAAAAATGTAAGTCAGATCAAACATCTGAAGCATGTCTACTACTATGCATCCCTAGATGCATGATCCATGCAAATTTGGTCAATAAAGGATTTATTGTCACTTTGGAATAGACCTGCTGCTGAAACATTATCTGGTCACTCAACTAGAAAATGTAGGTCAGATCCAGCATCTAAAGCAAGTCTGGTAGTGTGTGTCCCTAGTTGGATCATCCATGCAAGCATGGTCCAGAAAGAGCTTACAATTCCTTGGGAATAGACTTAATAAGCTTTCAACCAGGACCCTTACACAGGGGGTATAGCATTAGTTCATCTGGATGTTGTCGAAGTAAGCTAAAAATCATTATTTCTATAATTACTTCAACAATCAACATATTGCTAAAGTGCTTGCAAATTTAAGTCAGGGAGATGGCTTTGCTATGGAAAATAACTCTAATTATGGAATTAAAAATAAAACATATATCTACCTCTGCAGTATTTAACATTTTGCTATGAATTTCTTTGATCTTTTCCTCTCCCTCTCTTTCTTTTATTTTAGCAAACACATCTGTATATTCGTTGTCATAGATTTCAGAGAATACCTCTCCTAGGTTAATCGGACGATTGATATCACTTAAATCAGCAATACCAGGATTGTTTTCAGTCATGCGAACACCTGCTACTTGACTTAGCCTAGAATTATATAAATTAATATTTTTCAAAAATAAATGAAAAGGATAAAATATCTCCATTTAAGGTCCCAAGAAGGAAAAACCTGTATCCCTCTCACCAAATTACACACTATAAATCTTACAATTTAAACTGGGTTCAATAAATTTCAGAACAATTAATTCAGACAATAATCAAAATAGTTTCCCAAAATTTTATTCAAATCCATATATGTTTATATAATGGACAACTTTACGAAATACTGTGAAATCATTAATTTTTGTGAAGGTTGAATTTCTATGGCATGAAATGAATTCATGTTCACAAAACTATGTTAAACTTTCTAAAGACAGTATCATATCTTCAATTCTTTAACTTACATGTATGAACCAATTTTTTTTCCCTCAAACCACAAAAATTTGACTGCCAAAAAAGAAAGTGATTTTACAGTACAGGAACAAACAAGTGTAAGTTAAACATGTTAAAAGAAAACATGAACTTTCTAAATAAGCCTTTTTTCTGGAAAATGTTTTGGGAGGAGTGGGGTAAATTGAATATTTACCTGGATAATAATTCTCTCTTTTCACTGATTAACTTCTCATTCTCTTCTTGTAGTTTATGGTTCTTTTCTTTTATTTCTTTAATTTCTTTACTTTGCTACAAAAAATTAAATTTTGAAAAACTAATGGAAGTTTTTTATCATGGTTATTGTTACAGCAAATCTCTCTCAAGTAAAATAGCTTAATTGCTATCATTTTTTAAGTACAAAGTTAAATAATTTTCTAGCACATTATAATAAATGCACATACTTATAAGAACCACATGGATTACATATTCCATGAATAATCATTATTCTATATTTAATGAGGTTATAACAATTAAATGAATCATCACAATATGATGATCTGGCATTTGATATAGAATAAAGTGCAATCCATTTTATATGGCATAATTTATAATTATGTATTTTTAACATTATATTAGACCAAGATAGAGTAATTAAAAAACATTATTTGCATGTTATTTCCCCATTTGAATCAGCAAACTTGTTTTTCTTTATTAGTACTTTTTTTGTCTTTGAGGGTTTTTTTTCCTAGGTAAAATAGGCATGCATCCTATGTTAAAAATGAACTAAATATTTTTTTAAATTTTTTTTTTGATTCAAAACTTCTCTTAGACTGAGTTGTTTTTATTAGCAGGATAATTAAGGGGTTTTTCAATTTTAACAGTATAACTTGTTAAAATTTTGTCAGAAGAAAGACATTTCAAAGAGAAAATAACACACCAATCAGAGTAAGTGCGACAACAACATGACATTTAATCCATAACTTATTTGATCTGCTTTGTTATACAAGTTGTAACATAGGCCTAGAGAGTCAGAGAGATGCATTAATAGTGACGTGGGAAAAATGCAGATTACTGGAGACAGAGACTTTTGTTTGGTAGATTGCACTATGGACAGTCCTTTTAAAAATTCAACATTGTCAACAGGGATTGCTGTGAATATGAAATTCTTAAAGCTTCAGAAGTTGCTTGCACGAAGTAATTAACACTTATGCTGTAGCGCATTTGTTTGCACTGAGTAATTAACACTTATCTACATGCTGTAGTGCATTTGTTGATTTATCATGTTTATATGTAATAAAAATGATCCTTTTATATTGTTTTTTTTTTGGTTGATATATTGTACAGTTTTTATACAGTTTTTTGATAAGCAATAAACAGTATTTTCACCTGAATTCCATTATTTTCAAGGCTGCTGTACAGTATTTGGCTGGGTCTAAAAATTATCACATGTATCGTATAGGGGTGGTTAAAAAGTAAGGAGACAAAAAATATAGTATGATGAGCCCATGTGTACCTAACATAATGCCAACGAAGTCCAAAGCAATAGCTCACAGGTACTTGGGTCTTGGTTTATAAATACGTATACCTATTGAATATGTAAAAAAAAAAGTACTTTTTTTACATCAATAGGTACATACATCAGGGTTAGAAATTCACTATATACAACTCGCAAAACGCGAGTTAGAATTCCCAAATTGCGAGTTAAAAATTAGGTAACTCGCAAAAACTTGCAAGTTGATTTTTTTTGCATTGAAACTGTAGCAAAATTATATAATATGACAGAACACAATGCTTTTGATTTCAATCAGTAATTGCTAGCGCTCTCAACCGCTAGCAACTACGTTAGTCTATATTTCTGAAATACGCATGCTCGACTTAACGGTCGGGGATTCTGGGAAAACTACTGTAGATAGACTGTACGATAACAATTTCGTTTTGTCATACAAAAATAGAAATGATCCGAATTTACACTGGCCTTTCCTGTCTGATATGCGCGATATACATTTCGTAGGTTCGAGACAGTCAATACCAGTCTAGATCCGGATTCTGAATTTTTTTTTATTTATTGTCTAACCTACACATAAAAGTACAAGAAAAATTTGGCCATATAATGCCAAGATTCTAGACATCTAGCTTTCCTTACAGTTTTACCACCTAAGTGGAAGCTCGGAAAAAACAACAGCAACAACAACAAAAATCTTTTTCAGAGTATGTCGGAAAAACATGTCAATTTAGTGTTCATTATCTGAAAATACATATGATCTGAAGTTTCGTGTTTTGTTGTCTAACCTGCACGTAAATGAACATAAAGTAACAGTAACTCGGGTCTTATAAAACCAAGACTGTTATTTCTAAAGTTGTAATAAATACATAGCTTTTCTAATCTACCTTCATAGATCTTTCCGGCAAGCTCGGAAAACCGCAGCAACCTCGGATATGTTTTCCGAGCTTGCCGGAAAGGCCCGAAGGTGCTCATTGGTTCTACTGGCCTTTTATTTTTCACCCCGAAATTGAAATTACAGTAAAATACAGAATGCTTGAAGCACAGTTAGGAGTTATGCCATTGCCGACGTGAAGCACACTCTTAGATTCACCATTCTGAATTGTGACCCCCCCCCCCCAAACTCAACCCCAAGTGCACCAATCTGCCTTCCTATTAATAATTAATCGATTCAGCAAATTTAACAAATGGTTCAGATATCTTCTTCTGTATTTTATTAAGCTACAGCGCTAGCTCACCAATCTTTTTAAAAGATAAGCTTGTTTAAATAAAAGTCACACTGTAGTTGTATTTTTGTATTGTACAGTAGTTACTTTTTCCTTAAGTTACATGTATTTAATTTATATAAATTTAACTTTATATGAAAATTGCGAGTAGTCTTATAAAATTGCGAGTTAACTTTCTTGGTACTCGCAATTAATTGCGAGTTGCAATTTTAGGGAGTTTCTAACCTTGATACATATTGAAACAATCCGGGAAAAGTTATTCCGGTACAAGCAGTATTTTAGTCATGTTTCCGCTAGATGGCGTTGTTGGCCACATAGGGTATAAATACAAGTGAAGCGGCAGAGCTGTATTAATTGCGAAGTTGATGCTGAAGTGGCAACACAAGCGGCGGACCATTAATGATCAGAGGTAACTTTTAGTTAATGATAATAAATAAATATTTAAAGCGTTAGACGTGACTGAACAAGTCTTTCCTGGCTTTAAATATTGTTTATTACCAAGAAAGCTACCGAGGGAGCCAGTAAGAGCCGAGCTGTAAGAGCCGGTTATCATAAGAGCTGAGCTGTAAGAGCCGGTTATCATAAGAGCTGAGCTGTAAGAGCCAGTAACCATAAGAGCTGAGCTGTAAGAGCCAGTAACCATAAGAGCCGTGCTGTAAGAGCTAGTAACCAGAAGAGCCGAGCTGTAAGAGCCGATCGCTTAGGAGTCAGCGTCACTTTGATTTATTGTACCTAATTGATTAAAGACAAGTAGTCTAAACATTTATCTGTATATATTGCTTAATCACATATTTGTATATTTTGATCCTGCCAGGTCCTCAGAAAGTTAACTGGGGGAATTCAGCCGCCTCTGCTATTTGTTATTATATTATTAGATTTCACGCTACAATATTTATAAACCAAGACCCAAATACCTGTGCAACAACTGAGCAATCCGCTTTGACAGCTGTTTGATGATCAGGTATTTGGGTCTTGGTTTATAAATATGTATACCTATTGAATATGTTTTTTTTCACACATTCAATAGGTATATACATATTTAAAACCAAGACCCAAGATGTATTGATTAGTATTATGCACAAAAAGCTTAGGATCAAGAAAATATATCTTTTATCTTTTCAGACCTCTTACCTTATCGGTATTTTTCTGAGCCATTATCTACATATATCGTTGAAGTTACTAATATTCAAACATTCATTACATTGTCCAGTTTTTCTTTCCTACTTTCCTTTTGATCAATAGATTTGAAATCTCGAGCCCGACTTAAACACAGTAACTTTACTCTGTATACAAGGTTTCAGAAGCATAAATAAAAATTAATGCATTAAAATGACTTAACTTTGTTAGTCTTATTTAGCAAAAGTTCAGATTTTGAACTTATTAAATTAGTTTTAATGTTTTTTAATTGAAATATCCCAAAAAAAAGATAAATATATAAAAGTTTTTGCATTATCTGTGATAAGCAGGCATTGTATTGTTCTTGAAAGTGTGTGTGGTGTTAGTGGTGGTGGTAGGGGGGCATCCAAATGAAAAAAAAATATTTCACAACTTACATTAAAAATCTCTGACAATAAAAAATAAATAAATAAATAAATAAAATAAAACAAAAAGGGAAATAGTCCAAAGTTGAAAATCTTTTTAATTTGTGTATATGTGGAAGGGGGTGTAGGTTCCAACTTTTTTCACAAGCAAACTGCATTATTACATTCCGATGGGGCAATTTCGCTATGCGCAACAAAAAGTAGGAGGAGGGGTGGGGTGGGGGCTTTCATTGAAGATTTTCAATAGTATATGTTTGGGGAAAAGTTTTTTTTCTTTTTATTTCATGTGCATGGAACAGTTCTTTTAAAGTTTCTAAGTGCATCCACATAAGATACACAATAGAACTCCATTATCAACAAATATAAAAATTTTAATGAGATTTTGGATTTTCTTTTAAAATCTCACAAACTATAAAATAAAGGAAATATACATGCAAATGGTTTGTAAATGAGTGTTGTATAAAGACATCTGTTCAAAATGATTCATGAATCATGGTGCTATCTCATTTTTTGTAATGAATTCATTTATGTCCCATGGTGACTTTAAATGGGTTCTTCTAACCCATGGCCAGAATTCAAATTATATGACTCAATTGATGACGTAGAAGGCTCAGTACCCAAATATATTACTTGAATGCTTATATTCTGCTTTGTGGTTTTTGACAGCATACAAAATCTTTTAAGAAGTCTAAAACTTCTCTGTCGTGAAAGTCATAAACAATAATATTGGATATTGGAATGTCTTGTAAATGTTGCCTTTCTGTTCTAGTTGATAGTTCGTAGACCACTTGTACAGAAAGGTAGCATTTACAAGACATTCCAATATTGGATATTGGAATGTCTTGTAAATGCTGCCTTTCTGTTCAAGTTGATGGTTCGTAGACCACTTGTGGTTGTTGCTCTGTCAACAGCCCCCCCCCCCCCTCATTTGACCTGGTACAGAAAAAGAAAAACAGTCAACCTCCACAAAATCCAGCGTTTGCCCCTAGGCCTTATGAACAGTTCATGCAAACGTTAGAATCAATGGAATTTGTGTTCTACAGGCTTATGTCTTTTCCAGCTGTATGTTACCAGCCCCCAAACTCAGCTCTCTTCTACCAGTAGTTATTAGTGGTTGCAGCAACCCTGTACTGTTGATTTGAACCCAGTGATCTCTGGATAGAATTAAATAGAGTTTAGTTGTTGTCTCCTTGCTTCCCAAGATCCAGTTACTAAATGTAATATTGCGGGCATAAACCAATTAACATCGTCCAAGAAACTGTGCACTGGGGCCATAAAAGACAAGGGATATGTACCCAATACATTTACTGGTATCCAGAACTTTTGACACAAGTGATAGGCTGGATAAAAGGTCCAAGCACTGCCGTTTTATCTTGGAATTGTTAAGTATCATGAAATGTGTTTATCGTATAATATCTCGTAAAAAAAAAAAATGAAAGAAAGAGGAAGCATTTGGAGGAAACCGAAACAAAGAGCAGTAACGGAAAGCAAGAAGTGAACTGCAAACAGATACCGGTAAAAGTTTCAAGAACAGCTGAGGAAATCAAGGAGAATAACAATCCATCATATCCTCCTTCAAAGCCAGCAGTTTTAAGCGAATCAAATACTGAAACCTTACCAGAGACGCACAACCTATCAACACAGTCTGACAAGATCGTGGCTGAATCAAAATAATCAGAAAGATATGGAAGACATAATTCAGTATGTCCTTAGAAGTGATTTAACAGAGGAATCCGTAATTATTCTAACATCACAGTTACTGGTGAGGTCAACAAAGTTGAAAATGAAGACCTAAAAGCAATCATCTTAAAAGGTCCTAAATACAGGAAGCCTCGCTCTTTCAATTAGTAACAGAATTTCATTTCCATTATGTATTCTGTCGAAGATTATGCCAGACGTTAATATTCGTTGGGCTGAATATGAATATTAAGATTTGAACACTTGCCAGAATGGATTAAGTGTTTCAGAAATATATTTAAGAATCATATAAGAAATTTTAAAGATAATATGCGAACCAGTTGTCCTTCGTTTTTTCTAAATCGGAGGTGCTAAAAGAATTAGAAAGACTACATGAACAATATGTTATGGTTCCAGCCGACAAGGCTTGTAACAATATCGTCTTTTTTTTGTTAATTGATATAAACGACAGTTTTTTCGGGTGTTTGAGAATCCACATCTGGGTCCCTGATTTTTACCACTTCTAGAATATGCTGTAGCACAGTACGTCTGAAGTTTCCCCTTTACTGCAGTTAATAAGTTATAATGTACTTTCATTCATATGTCGACAGCACAGAGTTAGCCACGGCGGTTTCATATTTGGATATTTTACTGACCATAGACAATAAGAGCCAAAAAACAACTAAATTGTTTGACAAGTATCATTGTCAGCTTTCCTTATTTATATAGTAACATCCCGCCATCACCTGCATACTGTTATAGTGTTTACATCTCCCAACCTATTCGATACTCAAGAGCCTTTCCAAGTACGATCAATTTTTGAACCGAGGCATGCTACTGACAGAAAAGTTGATGTTACAGAGATTTCAACAACCTTGTTTAAAGCCAGCGTTTCGCATATTCTATGGACGCTATAATGACCAAATTAGCAAATACAATCTAGTACTGGGTCGTATTTTGGCTGACTTGTTTCGTACCATTCTCTTTCATTATCACGAAACTAGACTACGACTCCTTAAACAAGGTTTGTAACGGAGGCCTGTGTCAAAGAAAATTACTGTACAATAGCATCATTATTTAGGATGGGAGTAGAATAAAAGGGAAGAACGAGAAAGGTTGCTTGGAGTGGACAAGTAATCCCCTGTTCACCTACTAACATTGAATCGTGAAAAACTTCATCATCCTGTTCAATACCAGATAGACAGTTAAACATGTCAAAACTAAAGTCAGAGCGATGAAACTGAAATAAAGATAAGTAATAATGAAAAAAGTTCAAAAGAAAAAAGGGCGTGCGTCTTCATCCTAATTAAGAATTAGGATTGGCGCGAATCGGACGGGAAAAACTACAAATCATTTTCATACAATGTTTTGGGGATATGTAACCTCCTTAATTTTGAGCATGGACAACTACCCCAGTTGACTGGAATATATGAAAGCAAAGAATATATTGCTATTTAGATAAAAATCTTTACCCGTTTTAGTCAAACGTTTCCCCGATTCCTTTGGACTAGGAAGAGAGAGAGGACATTGTCTTCCGTACTATGCCAAACTTCAGGAAAGGAATTTATTCTGTCGTGCCTTCCCTAAATTTAACTTTAAAAGCAAATGTCTAAAAGTAAATCAGAATGTAAATGAGATTTGCTCAGGGCTCTTGAGTACAAAAAATTCGGACATAATGTCAATTATGAAGGATCGAAATAAGGCAACTTTGCGATATTTTTATCTAAAACAAAAACTTTTTTCCCAAGCTGCACAGGTGACTTAACAAAGATATGTTGTTAAAACCTCAAGTACCTTGTACTGAAATAATACGGCAAACCACTATGCATTCATAAGAATAAAAAAAAGGTATACTGTAGATCACAAATAGTCGCAACACATTATTTTTGCGAGGTTGTCATTTGCTAATAATAAACCATACATAATTTTCACGAATTTTGTTCTATTCAATCTTAACGCGAGAAATAAATTTTCGCGAGCAGGTGGTCTCGCGTAATTACGCAAAAATAAAGTTCTCGCGAATAAAAAGTGATTTACAGTACTCATTTTTTTCTGTGGCTTTTTGTAAATAAAACAAAATTCACATTCATTAAATTTTAATGAAAAATTCAGCCTCCCTTCCCCATCTTTATCCATCATTTATTAGTAGCACTGCAAATATTTATACATTTTCAATTTATTTATTATGCAAGATTGTGTTTTTGTATCTGAAAATATTAAAGATAATAATGCTAGCAATAAATTAGGATAATGTTTTTAACACTTAGACCGATAGAGGAATTTTAATTAAAATTAAATGTCCCGATTTCTTTTGGTTGTTGTCGGGAGTCAGATGACCTTGTCTCTTTCAATGCTGATTTCCTATCTTCCAGTTCTTCAGGGGACACATCCAGAATAGCTGAAGGGGTCATCTGCAAAGTCGGTTCCTGTGAGGAGAGCCTTTTTAGCTGTGGGTTTGGTGATTCTTTCTTACTAGCTGTTGCTTCATTGTCTTGTTGACCACGTTCGGTGCTTTTTATGTCTTTCAACTCAGATTTCTTAATTTCAAGTTCCTTTGCTGAAAGACTGGGTAAAAGAGGAGGTTGTTTTACTACAACGTCTGGATTTTTAGAGTTATTAACTTTTTTTATTACGTTTTCATACTCTGTGTCCTTTGGTGCACGAATCTGAATTCTAGCAATGTGCTTTCCATCAACATTATCTGCAGTAGTTGGGGTTGAGGAAACGCAAATTGTGTTGTTGTTTTCAAACTTTTGGGATGGATCGCTTTTTGTAGAAATCATATAGCCGTTCTGTTGAGTCGGCTTATGTTCATTGCAGCCTTCAACAACAGCTTTGTTGAGAAGTGCACCATTTCGTTCAATGTATATTGCTGGCCAGACAACGAAATCTACAAACTTTCCACTATTTTGATATCCTCTGTGACATTCACTGTCAAACTTTGAAAAATCTGCAGTAAGATACATTGGAGGGGTTTGAATGCTAGCATACCAGCACACCTCCAGACACCGGTCTTGATAATTCTGCAGAGCTCTAAGCTCTTCTTTATTGGGAAATTTCTGTAAATTCAAGCACACATATTTTCATTGATAACAAGTATCAATTTTTTGTATGTATTAGTAATATAAGTACTTATTATTTATACCGGGGTATGTTAACGATGCAAAGACAGGTACATGTAAAGGGATAAATTAACAAATAATTAAACATCTAAGATATATCTTTGTTTGATGATGGAAATGGTATGCGAGACCCATCATCGTCAGTAAAAATCAATCGACACTTGAAATCCAAATTATTAGTAACATCATTAAGTAGAAACAACTTTAACATTTTATATTTAACGAGTTTTATGGCATGCCAAACGTTGCAATATTCGATCTTTTCCATTTGTATTGTATAATTTTCCATTTATATTCTATAATTTTCCATTTGCATTGTATAATTTTCCATTTGTATTGTATAATGTTTATTTGTATTCTATTGTTTTTCCATTTGTATTCTATAATTTCTCATTTGTATTCTATAATTTTTCATTTGTATTGTAAAACTTTATTTTGTATTCTATAATTTTTCATTTGTATTGTATAAATGTTCATTTATATTGTATAATTTTTATTTGTATTCTAAAAAAATTCATTTGTATTGTATAAATGTTCATTTGTATTCTATAATTTTTATTTGTATTGTATAATTTTGCATTTGTATTGTATAATTTTCCATTTGTATTCTATAATTTTCCATTTGTATTCTATAAATTTCCATTTGCATTGTATAATTTTACAATACAAATGGAAAATTATACAATACAAATAAATAATTATACAATACAAATAAAAAATTATACAATACAAATGAAGAACTATTGAATACAAAAACAAAATTTACAATACAAATGAAAAATATAAAATACAAATAAAAATTTTACAATGCAAATGAAAAATTATAGAATACAAATAGATAATTTTACAATACAAATGGAAAATTTTATAATGCAAATGGAAAATATACAATACAAATGGAAAAGATCGAATATTGCAACGTTTGACATGCCATAGAGTTTACGTACTCTTTCTGAAGTCTAAAACTGCTCCATGATCCTGGGGACGGATATGTTTTAAATTGTTTTGAAATACTGATTAGACATTTTGTCCTATACACGTATATGTGCATAAACTGGGAACTTACTTTTTTAATATGTGTCGCCAGTTCTGTGGCAACACTTTTGATGAACTCGTTAAGCTTTGTCGAGGTAGACTGAGACAATGTCGTCGTTGGATCCGCCTAGAAAACAAACTTTTCTTACAAAAAAATAAAGCGTCTTTTTTTTATTTTCCAATCATGGAAATACAGAGAAAGAGTGAATTACCTCTGCATCATCAAGGAACATTAGAGAGGCCACCAGACGTCTCCTCTGTTTCTCCGATTCGTGTTTGCAAAATGCATAGCATTCCTGAAATAGACGAATTTAATAATTATTGAGCTATATCATTTTAAAATTATATTTAAATTTAAGGTAGTTGATAGCAAAATATATTACCATTAAGATATCCAGTAACCGTTTTGTAATGACACAGTCGCTTCGGTCACTGTCGGTCTTGGCTTCCAAACCGAGTCGCTCAAAAGCTTCCGTCCATTGGTTATCGTAAATTTCACTGAACATCTCGGACAGCTTCTGTGGTCTTCTTGGATCACTGAGATCCGTAATGGAGGAGTTACTCTCCATTGGGTTAGACTATTTTACTTCAATTATGCTGAAATGAGTAAAGGTAGATATTGATTTCGAGAAATGTTAAGAATTAGTAGTGTTCAACTGTGAACTGCTCTTCAGATGAATTTCATATTTTCGATTATAAAATTAGCTTTTGTTTCGTATAGTAAATGATTTTGCTCTTTTATTTCCATTTATTTATACTATTAAACATCTGATTTTTAGTCAAATCATTCCTATTCCCTGACGCCCATAGCCTTTTCCACAAAGGAAATTTAAGGTTTACAGTGTTACATTCTCATAATTGAACAATAAGCAAAAAATTATTTTTGGTTTTTCAATCAGCTTTAGAAATTGTACTGCACTATAATACAAAGAGATGAACAATACTTCTTGCATGTTTATGACAATTCTCTTAGTTTCTTTGTCAGCAAGTACGGATTAACACTCAGTATCATATAACAGAAAATATGGGTTTGTACATACAAACAAGCTACCAAATAAATACAACTTACACAAATGTACATGTATATTCTTTGATTATATCCCTAGGTATTACATGAATGTAGCCTACTTACCACACTAGAAATTGTCTGTATTGGTTCTGTCATTGTCCGCTTTAATCGTCTGTTCCTTTCTCAGACCTACTCTCTCTCCTCTGTGTATATATTCCGTGGAATGAACGTAACGTTATTAAAATAAATCATTAATATTTACAAACTGAGAAGTATGCATCCTGTAAGTTGTAAATTATAACCTTAAGTTATAGCCTGACAAATGTAAATATACTTACACCTATACGGTTTGTTGACGTTGAAGATCGCTGACCTGTTGATAAAGATACATGTATGTTTTATATTTACTACAGGCATTGACAGGTAAAAATGTCGCTCCAAGGTTGTAGATACATATCAGGTATCAGGAAGAGTAATTTTTGTTTAATGAAAAAAGCCCTTTTACCTGTGCCCTGCCTTTTGTTAATAGTCAGACAATCACGTGAGCTAATATACCATTACCAGAGTTGAATAGTTTTGTAATATATAAATAATTCGTCGGAATGACCGTCTTTTTTTTTTTTACTTTCGAAGTCACATTTATATTCTCATTATATAGCTTGATTAATATAATTGCTTTTCCAATTTTTATTTCAAGCTTGTCATGCTAGCTATCGTCTCACCTTGCATAACTGTTCTTTACCAAATTCTATTTTAGTGCTTTGCACGCAAATGCCCCATATTGCATAATTAGAATCCTGTATTCCACGTATTAAAGAAATGTACATCATATATGATGTAGTACTTACGAATTTGATAGTTTTCTGTGGATACATGTACTTCTGATATGTTTTATCTGATATGTTAACCCCCTTCCACTGACTGGGCCGTGAATTTAGTGGTGCCACTTGGCTCGTTATCGCGAGTTCTTGGTAATACTAATATAACTTCCTGTCATATTTCTATTCTGGCATAATTGGCAGTGTCCTACACTGCTTTAAAATGACACAATTTAAATATCTGCGAGGTTTCTTTATCTGTAACGTCCCGCATTACAGCGTGGTGATTGCATTTTGTTAAAAGATAACATTTGATCAGGAAAATTCCAAAGGATAAAGTGCACATACAGGCGACATTCATGCATTATCAGGGTGTACAAATATTACCGATAAAAAAATACTTAGTGTTAAAATCATGTAATTGTACAGTCATGTTTTTATTGACTTCATACAAACAATAAATTAACCAATGGAACAAAAAATGCAATATTTGTGATCATGATAGATAATGATTAAAGTACATGCATATGAAGAAACGTCATATAAACAATAAGCTATACAATGGAACAAAAAATGCAATATTTCTTATTATGATATATAATGATTTAAGATTTAATGAAAAAATAACCATCATTAAAATAAAATTTTGAAATGTAAATCTAATAGAATGATATATGATTAATTCTGAAATCAACTTAATTACTATGTGGTTGGACAACGCCTTTCTTTAAAAGCGGACCACCCTCATGCAATAATAATGACGGCCATACATTATAAGACACTGTTTTTCCTTTCCCACTATAAAGTCTTAAATGCTCAGACACTCTCTGTCCTTCATGGGCCCAAAGTAAACACATAGGCGGATCCTGAATATTGAAGAGCCAAGACAATTCTATGCACAAATTTGTATATTGCACCAAATTATCTGTGTGTAAATCAGGGTCAATCATTTTGGACAACTGTTTCCGACTGAACATCTACAATAAACGACAAAAATGTTTAAAAAATAACATATAATATAAATTAGGCCAAAAAAAATAATAGTCTTGTTTCCTGCTACCAGCCTGAAAAAAATAGGGTAGGTAGGTAGGAAAATTATTTCATTTTATATTTTTATTTTATTTTTTTTTCCGACAGCATTTTTTGGATATGAACTAATACAAGATCAAATTAAACATGTCACAGGTCAATATTGACTTTTAAAATTAAATTTCATGTCTTTTTATGCACAACTCAAGTGGTATTTTATGAAAGTCCATATTTAAAACAAGAATTTCATGAAATGCTTGTTTTGTGTTAACACGGAAACCGATTACAGTGACAGAACGATGAAATTCCAGAAATTCCCGATTTTTTTTCTTCCAAAACTTAAAAAAAACTTTAGGGTCGGGTGCAAAAAAATAGGGTAGGTCGGGTAGCAGGAAACAAGACTATTATTTTTTTTTGGCCTTACCTGTAGAATATATTATCATTTCATAATATCCTCTTGACCTACCATTTGAATTGAAGGAATACTCAGGACCCCGTGATCTTTTCTGAATTCTTTCAAACACCTTGAGGCTTCTTTTTGTAATTTTTTAGTCACATGTAGCTAAGGTTTAAAAAAAGAATTAAATCTATTAAACTTTAATTATAAATGAATAAATTTAGACTGTAAAATTTTAATCAGATTTCATTGGCAGAATAAATATGAAATGCATGTATGTATACTTACTTTTATTTTTTTTTAACAATCTAAGAATGATTTTTATAGGATTGATCCCTCTTTGTTATTGTTAATTTACGAAATCGCTCACCCACTCTGGCACATTCTTCATTGGGAACAGTATTTTCTCCCACATATCCTGAAATTGATCCGATGCCAGTGTCTTACAGTACTGGAATGCTGCCTATTATAAAATAACAGATTTTTTAAGATTCTTATTCTGCAAATCTTTTAAAAAAAAAACATTTATGTATCATATTTTCCTCCTACGAGGAAAGATTGATATTTTTTTTCATATTTCCCTGCCTATCGTTTTCACCATGGTCAAAGCTTAGAGGGCACAGAGATCTATTTACCCTTCCCATATCAATAGCTATATAGAGAAAAAGGTCATTAGCTTTCAAAGCATATGTTGCCCCAGTCCCACCTCACCCTTCTCCTTTCTACCCGTCTTAAATGTAAAAATATTGAGTGATAAAGAACATGTCTAGTCATGGGTTTTCTTTTCGTTTTTCTTTAAAAAAAAGAAGGCGATTTAGGTAGACAGGAATTTTTGGTGTACTTCACCCATTTTGAACACTTGCCTATGTGCCCTCATCTACAAATGTCCTTCTAATCACAGTGTATTGTAACTGCATGTACAACGAAACGGCGATTAAGATTATGTATAAGATTAAGGTTATGTATAATGTAACTTTACTCTTCTACGGAACATCTTTGAAAGTTGCCTTTTTGATAAGTAAATGTGGCAAAGGTGACTTCTTGCTTCTATTGGATAAATTTATTTGTAAATATTATATGGAATCGTTGACGCTTGTGGTTAGATTAGCCAAAAACTTCTACGTATGAGTAAAATTAAAGTAGATTATAAAGAGTGTGTTTTCTGTAAGAAGTGTTCTAGTGTTTATCAAGATGACATTTTTTTACCTCTAAAATGTCCGCCAAAAGTTTGATATTCCCATCCTCGTGATTCTCTTTTGTCGTGCGTAGATCCTCTAGAGCCTTTGTCCACTCATTATCGTAAAGTTCCGAGAATCGTTCGGCAAGATTTGTTGGTCTGTTTGTATCGCTGAGATTAGTAAATGTTGAATTTTTATCTCCAAGCTTTTCTTCCTCCAATTTACTTAATCTGTGCAAATTCCGATTTAACATAAATTAAAGCTACAAATAGTATCTATATGCATCTTTTTGAAACAAAGCTGCAGAAATGTGCTCTGTGGGAAAGAAACATGAATAGACATGTCTGTGCGAATTTTCTTTCCCAGAGATGTTAGATGCAGCTATGTTACAACACTAAATGTAATAACAACGAAAAATGTAATAAACCGGGATTATTACATTTTGCGTTATTACACTTTTGCATCGAGATCAACTCAAAATGTAGAAATAGACCTTTTAGGATTATTATTTTGCATTTTTACATTTTGCGTTAATATTGAGGCAAAATGTAATAACTCAGGATGTAATAATCCTTAAAGTCTTTTATTTCATTTTGTGGTATTACATTTTGCTGTGATCTCGACACAAAATATAATAAACCCGGTTTATTACATTTTGCTTTGTTATTACATTTGGCGTTGTAATACAGCTATTTAAAATGATGCTATTCAAAAAGAAACAAATCATCTTCAAGCAAACGTTTATCATTTATTCTGCTAGTCTCCGAGCTCCAGATTATATTGTCCACAATTATTTTACTCAAGTTGCATTTATTGAATGATTCTCTGGATTATTTCAGTACGTTATATGTATCTTTTTGTGAACAGTAAATGGAAACACTTACTTATTACATACATGTACATATAAATGATTTCGCTTGCCTTACATGAAATGCATGTAGCTTTTTAAATTAGTAAAATATATTATTGCTTAACATGTAAGCATTTTGTGTAATAAAAAAAGTTAATCGTATCTAATTTTTTTAAGGCATTTTCCTTGGTATCGATAAAAGAAATATATATGTTACCTAATTTTTAGTTCTTCGATTTCTTTCTGCTGTATTTCTATAAGGCTTGACTGGTTCTCCTGTTGAGCTGTTTCAGCTGGTCTCTCGTCCTCATTGAGATATCTCTCTGTGTTCACTTCGTCTGTCTGTTCCTGTTTCTCTACCACAAAAGTTTTAGAAGCTCGTGTCAAACTGTCTAATTCTGTTGGTACGTCCATAAGATCGTGTATCCCGGTGAATTTCTTACTCTCAACTGTTCTCTGCAAACAATTGATACTGTATTGTAATTATCTTTTTATTAAAAAATACTTTTTTATGTTGCAAGAAAATGAATTTGTCTTTTCTAGGAAATTACTGCATATATTCACACCTTTCTCTCTTTCAAATTTATAGCGAGCGCCGCTCGTCACTGCGAGCTCTAAAAGCAACACCTGGGCGAAGAGAAAATTCGGACTTTACACATTGATCCAAATGAATTTTTTTCCGCAGTTACCTGTGGTCCCATAATCTTAGCGAATTGCATTTCGCCGCAAACAACGTTCTCGCGGTAGCAACAAAAATTCGACAAAAAATAAAATCACCTTGATATAATGGATATAAAGCATATATAAATCAAACGTTCTTGATTAAAATTAGCACTGTTCAGACTTCGTTTTGGTAATGCAACATACATACGACGCACTCGGCACACCTCGGCCGATTCGTACCTCATCAAACCTCGAGGTTTGATGAAGGTGACGGAATCAGCCGAGGTTTGCCGAATGACATACGACGTCATATGACGTCAGAGTCTAGACGTAGCAAATGTCACGTGCTGTTTGACGAGCCCGATCTAAATTAAAACTGAAAGGTATCTGCGCTCGCCCTAACGGTTGCACCGTCAACATATTTTTCATTATCAAATAAATACCATATTTAGAAGACATGATAATGAAGGATAATGAATCAAACAACCATTTCTTAGAAAGAAATCTGTAATATAACCTATCACATACTATAAACTTGTATAGCATACCAATCCTCAAAAAGGGAACATTCCATGAATTAAACAAGATGATATTTGACTTCACAAAACTTATCTAAAAACTGTACGGAGTAATATTTGACTTAGAGGAACTTGCTTCAAAACTTAACGAGTAGTTTTTGACTTACAGGAACTAGTCTGAAAAATTAACGAGATGTTAAACTGAAGGGAACTTGTCTAAAAATTCAAGGAGTTGATTAATAGAAACTTAGCGAGATGATGTTTGACTATAGAAACTTAAGGAGATGATGTTTGACTTAATAGAAACTTAACAAGATGATGTTTGACTTAATAGAAACTTAACAAGATGATGTTTGATTTAATAGGGACTTAATGAGATGATGGTTGATTACAGGAACTTGTCTGAATAAAAAGGTGAATATAACAAATGATCGATCTCAAAATAATCTATGAACAATACAAATCTGTGAACAGGGCATAAAACACAGACTCCCGGAAATTTAAGAAGTGGGATCAAGTCCTACGAGGAGTAAACATCTCCTGTCGACCGGTCACACCCGCCGTGAGCCCTGTGTATTGATCAGGTAGAAAGAATATTCCGTAGTCAAATTCAGTATAATACAAAGTTTTAACATTGGTATGAAACAAGTCAACGATAGGTTATATTTGCTAACAAGTTCTATATAACGACCATAGAATAAAGTAAATCGAGGTTGTTGAAATCCCTGTAACATCAACTTATCTGTCAGTAGTTTGCCTCGGTTTAAAAATCGTGAATGGAAGTAATACTGTTAATTGATAAAACGACGTCAATAAATCTAAATGTGGAGTGGAAGGCAGCAGCATTTTTTCTCATGTAGAGATTTTTGAATAAAATTCTGCTTCATAGGAATATAAAAACAAGTCGGCTAATAAAGAAGCGCATTAGTGTCCATCGAAAATTCAACAGTTTGTCGGGAGACTGTCTCCGAAGACTAAATGTAGATGTTGTCAATGAGGAACTCCAGCAACTTTTTAATATCAACTTCAAAGTACTTGTGTGTAGAGAAATTAACGAGATATTTGACTTACAGGAACTGGTCTGTATCCTTTCTTCAGAGCTTTCAATAGTGTTGTGTAGTCTATCTGGGCGTCCACGAGCACCATGTCTAATTTATCCCAGTCCTTTTCCTCCGCAGCTTTCAGTGCGGCCCGAAGTGACTCCACCTGCGGCCATTATAAGTATGGACATGTAATTTCATATTTAATGTCACTAACATTTACAAAAGAATTCCTATATTTACTTAACATTTTCTTGAATCTAAATTTCTAAAAAGTGTCTGTCTGTGTTGGACACGGTTTTTATTTCTAAGAAATTCAAACGTACATGCTTATAAATTTTTCAAAGTTATTACTGTTATATCTTTAGTCCGTATTCTTAGTCACGTGGCTTCATCCTCATTACTTTCATATTTAATTTATATGCCTGACATTGGATTCAAAATGGATTCCTTATTTAATCACAATATAGATTAAGACTTTTTTGAATATTGATATATAATATAAACAAACATTTAGGCAGTTAATTTATCTATATTGACCTACATTATCAGCTTGTGCTCCCACAACTCCTTTCAAAAGGTTATTGAGATCGGCCTTGGCATTCTGAATCATTTCCCGCGTTAGGAGGTGGTACTTTTTCTGAGCCACGAGCCCCACCACGCCCTGTAGCACTTTGCCAATTCCCGACATCCTCTACTGCATCCTTAGCTTCAAATCCGCAAGAAAAGGAAATCATTTTTCAAATTATTCTACATGACATTTTTACTGCTAACCTAATACCAACGGCTTTCTTCTCTCTATCACGGTTTTCTCCCAATCTCATGGTTGTTTACATAGAAAGTAGTGAATAAACAGTTTATAAACAAATATATCCAGTTTACTTACATAAATGTGCTACCTCTTACCTTAGTTCGGACAAATTTTTGACATGACCCAAAAAATTCAGCATTTGAGCTCATATACAATCCATGAAGATATTAAATTACATATCGACGAAGATCTCTTTAAGGGTTCTACATTGTTTCCGATCATTGATCATATTAGCATATGCTTCGTCTTGATTAAAGTTTCTTGTTTAAGAATCCCACACTATGCATTTAAATGTCCCTGGTTGACTTAATCAATAGGGGATTATAAGGGTTTTGAAAAAGTATTTCACAGTTCAATATTTGTGTTTAGTTAAATCCTGGCTCCCCCTGATTTATCTATTATAATCGATAAAATTGATACTTTTTCTCTTTTAAATTTAAACTTCTGATTCCCCCAAAATTGAATTACTGAGTTTCCACATAAACTAAATCTCGCTGACTGTGCATTGCCAAAGTTATTTATCAGTAATAAAATCCATATCCATATGGAGTAATGATTTTTATAACTGCAGAAATTTTTTAAGTTAATATATGCTATAAATCTTGCATTTTGCATTTTAAACTTCAGCTTTTATGGAAAGACATAGTCCCATAATATAATATATTGTTTGTATCATATGGCATTAAACATTCTTTGTATGGTTAATAAATTAGGCATATACATATACTTATTAAAATCAATGAACAAGAGCATTAATTAAGTTCATCAAACATGTAAATAACCATCCGGTGCAAATTTTCGCAGATTAAAAGAGGAGTGAGTTTAATTTGGAGCACAGATATTTTGAACACATCTTATAAATGAAAATAAAACTCAGTCCAAGACCCTCCATGCAGTTGGTACCTATCTGAATGCGTTCCTTATTTCCCCATTCTAATTCCTTGGTTCCTACGTACGGTCAAGGGGCGAAAACTGAATGGTACCTAATTGTACAATTGCGTAATGTGCTACACATTGGATAAGTAAAATATTAGATTTAATAAACACTTAAAATCTATTTTGTTATATTGATTTTAAAAGATATTACCGTCATTGTTCGCCTACATGTGGCAACATGTATGTTTTAATTACACGGGTACCATGTTTCTTCTCTTTTTCAAATAAGTAAATAAATGAATTCTGGCAAGATGAACGCTCTTTTTTAATTATATTTTTCACAGAATTGCCACGGTCGAGAATATGTAAAAGTTAGAATTAGTCAACTTAAAATTCACATGTATGCATATTTGTACCACTATTTTTATCATAACAGATTTTGCAATAAATTAATGTTTATTTATCTAAAAACATTAACAAAACAGTACAACTTTGTATATATATGTACAGCATGATGCAGTTTTGTATATTAAAGTATTAAAGCTTGTCCTATTGAGGAGACAAATCACGTGACAATTAATACTATCATATTGGTATATATAAAGGAGTCACAATATGTGTATGAAAGAGCGATAGTTTGCTTGCCTACATTGACACAAGTTTCAAATGTCACGTGATTAATATTTTGCGAATTTTGAATTTTGTAAATTCCATCACTTTTGCGTCGCTATAATAGATCCTTTTGATAAAACCTTTCGCCCTTCTTGTATTAGAACTGCTGGCCACACGCACATGGACACGTACTTCCCACTCTCTGAATAAAAATCGTATTTGTCCCGGTCAACTCTGTCGCCCTCTGACGGCCAAACAAGAGCCATGGGCGGATCTTGTACGCACATTAACCATAATATTTCTATACATTTGTCTATGTAGTCATTGAGCACACTAGGCAGTTTTGTATGGTCCCAGCGAAAATCCTTTTCTATGGTTGTTTCCTTGAATTTCTACAAAAATGAATTCAATAACGAAATGCATTTCTGAAAATATACTCTAACGTTAAAGACACTATTCGATTTTTTCCCGAAGAAGCAAATACATGTAATTAGACTCATTTATTCGCAGACTTTAGTGTTTTATATTACTTTTTAAAGAGTTCTAAAAGTTTAGTTCAGATTTTATACGAATTATCTACCTTGCAGAGCTGCGGCACAGATATTGTGGCCACCTCCTGGCGTAAACCTTTGACGTATTTCATCCCTTTTGATGACAACATCAGTCTCTGCTCTCGTGTTGGTGAACTTTCCTGAAAAGAATATTTGATTAACATCCTAATTTATGTCAAATGATGCACAATGGATTTCCCGTTTCATATAACAAACAGAAAAACTTAGGGAATTTCAGCAATTAATTTCACGCATATTAACAATAATCTTTAATGTTCATTTCGCAATGAATTAAATCTGTGAATAAATAGTAGTTTTACTAAAATAGAAAAACAGTCTGGAAAATGAATATTTTTAATGAGTATACAACTTGTCTCTTACTAGGTAGGGAAGTTTGATTGGTTGTAGTAAAGGCACTGCAGATGTCGTGGTTAAATCCAAAAGTTGTCCGTAGGCGGCGGTTTGGCAGAATGGATATGCATACTAAAAGAAAAAGCAGCGTCAGAAATAAATACATCGAAAGTGTAACAACTGCAAACTTCTCGACAGAATCAAGATATTCTTATGCATTATATACATTTATAATACACTGGCAAATCGTCTAAAAAGATCAAAATGTTGTCCAAGGATCATGAACAATGTAGACTTTAGTCAAAATCTGCATTTAAAATGCTTTTGAAGACTCACTGTATCACTTAACTACTCTTATTTATAAAATTTGAGTGCAGGGCTACAGTTAACAAGCATCTCATGTACAGGCACTTGTTTCGTATATGGGGTCACCCCCTCCTTTTTTTTCCACAAGGTACCTACATGTAACTCAATTTCAGGCATCCCCGCTTCAAGCTCGTATTTTGTTAATATATCATTCATTAACCTACTTTTTAAATGACATCGTTCGCTTTGAGAGATTTTTCTATTATCAAATAAATCGTTTATTCCTCGAAAGTTACCGCAATATATTTTAAGACTCTGGACGATACAGTAACTCCCAGGTGGGGTAATAAATGTAGGACAAAACCAGAGACTTCCAAGTTTTCCATTCTGATGTCTCTGGTAAACTACAACCCTATCCGGAAGTTCCTGTATCTCGTCTAGAGTCTTAAAATGAATCGTGATAATTTTCAAAGAATAAATGTGTGGTTTACAATAAAGAGGCTTGAGCAGACACATCTGAAACGATTAGTTTGACAAGAAAAAAAAGTCTCTCGAAGGGAAAGAAGTCATTTTTTAAAGTAGTTTAATAATTGATTTATTAAGAAAATACGAGCCTGAAGCGTGGGTGCCTGAAATTTAGTTAGATGCCTTGTGGAAAGAAAAAGAAGGGGGTGATCCATATACGAAACGCCTGTGATCTCATGACATGGTTACATACATGTACAAATTCACAGCGTAACGTCGTAGGATGGGATCTGATTCAGCATTTGAAAATAAAGTTGAAAGGTATATTACAATGTAAGAGATATTCAAATTCCCCAATAGAGACTAGCTTCGGATTAGCTTTTCTTCTTGTGCCGATTTTCCTGTATTCTGGATATATTGTAACTATAATTTACCCGTATTATCCTCATAAGGTTATACATGATTTCCGTGTCTTTGCCTTGGTTCCATGTGCTCATCTCGTGAAATGCGCTTGCGTATTCTTTGTCTCGGAAGTCTCTAAATCGTTTAGTGATTTTGAGGGCTTTGCTGAGTGCGGTCTCGTCCTCCTCTAGTCCGCCTCCCAGTCTAAAAATTTGTCAAATTACATAAATTCCATCTAATTCTTCAGGATTTTTCATGAATTCAAAAGTAATTGTCAAAACCTAGATTTTTAAAAAAAAGAAATTACTTGTAATAGAGATCATTTACATGTATTATTAAAAAAAAATCTTATTAATTTTCGTTCTTTTTTCATACTTTTAGAGAAATTTTCAAGCCTATATAATAACATTTTTTTTGTACATTACGAAGAGATACAAAACAGATTTTGGAGCAAAGTGCCGTCAGACCTTAATATTAATACAGCTGTAATTCAAAAGAACCAAACTGTGAAGTATTACTGAGGGATACTGGATATTTTATTTCAATATTATCTACTCTGTTGTATATAAGAGCATATATATTTGAACATGTGCAATGCAATCTTGTAAAACCGCTCTTTGTTATAATGATTATGAGAGCTGGGTGGTTATGGCAATGTTTAAACTATTTCAACCAAAGCTCTTTGTAAACTAATAGGAAATTACATTGCATAGTAAAGCTTGAACGTGTTGGTTTTTTCTTTAGCTAAAACAATTATTTTTCATATTCTTAGCTGAATCTTTTGGGTGATTTGTTGACCGCCAAACCTCTTTAGTTAATCATATTGAATTGTCCTTGCCCTTGTGTTCCCATGAACCCCGTTTTCTTTTACCGGTCGTGGATGAAGTATTAAGGTGCAACTGATTACATGCACATGTATATGCTTTAGAACCTGTCCCCTTCCGTACCTCTTAGTGAGCTGATCTATCTTAGTCTGTTGGAACTCCACTGTTCTGAGAACATCTTCATAGTCGCTGATAGAGGACCCCGTTACGGAATGTCTGTGGGTCTCTCCCCGTGAGGTTTTCTTGCCGTGCTTCACTCGGGGAGACACTTCCATGATTGTCATTCTTTTTGGGAGGTACTTCTGCGGTAACTCCTAATACAAGTATATTAAATTTTTGCATCAGTACAAAGGGGAAGATATACAAGAGAATCGATCAATTTCTTCAAAGTGATAAACAAGATCAATTTTAGTAAAATTTGATGAGGCTAAATACATGTACCTACCTGCAGTGCAAATTAGATTTTTGTCAAGTTCATTGCTAATTTCTTTCTATTTAATAGTGGTGTATCAAAAGACAAAAGAGTATTTCGAAGACTAGCATTTGTGCATAGTCTCTCTGTGTGTGTGTGTGTGTGGGTGAGGGTGTGTGTGTGTGTGTTGGGGGGGGGGGGGTCACATTTTAATATATCTGGTTGATCTGACCTAAAGATTTATGAATTTACCATACTAAAAGCAAATATGATCACATGGCAAATATATAAATGTAGTTCAAAAACGACAAAAAATTCGTACTAACCACTTTATTTTGCATATTCAGCAGCATTTTTTCGGAACGTTTAAGTGAATTGTACTCGTACAAGGCCGTTCCGGAAGTGTACTTATTGACACTGGGCTCCCGGCATGCAACCATCAACACTTCCCTCAGTCTGCTCTTTGGGCTGTTCTCTGGTCCGTGACGAGGGCTTTTCTGTGCCTCCATGATGCCAGAAATCAATACATCCTGGTACTAAAAGTAAATTCAAAACAAAATACAAATAAAAGCAGTTTTGAAGTATGCTCGATAATTATCCGTTATATTCCATAAAAATAGCAATGCTGGTGCACTTAATGTATCAAAAGAAAAAATACATTAAAGGCAGTTGAAAGTGTAGTTTGTAAATATTTTCAAAGCAATTACCCAAATGTTCTCAAATTATATTCAAGTTTTCAAATCAGAATACACTTTTAGAATCTTTGTCCTTTTAAAACTCGCGTAAAATAAATTTACTTGAGTTGTAAAATAACGGTTTCTTAACACAAACAATTTTGAATGCAATTTAAATTTTACTTAGATTGCAGGTGTCAATAACTTCACAACCGTTGATATCATTTTCACAGTAACAATGTTGCAATTTGTATTAAACTAAATAAATAAAATGAAGAAATTACCTAGCTTACAGTTTATCAAATTTCTTACAATAAATTTATTTTACTTTTGCAAGATATCATGTGAGTGAGGTTTGTTTTCTTTGTCAATTTATCCGTGGAAGAAAATGTGATGAAAAGTGAGTACATGTTCAAACATATACAATTTGAACTTTTTTAGTTAAACATTTAAAAAAAACTAAATATCTAAGAATAATCTTAATTTTATAAGGTGTCTTTGAACATTCAATTACAAGTTTCTAAAACAAGGAATGGAATATTATATGAAGGTAACGAACAGTATTCAAGCTCAAAGGTCCATTGAAACAATATAAACGGAAAAAAATCCGTATACAATTTAGTGTGTTAATTTGTATGGAAAATACCAATCAACATTCTACGGAAGCCGGTTGGTGCCAGGTAGAAAAAAATATTTTATCTGGCGGCCGCCAGATAACTTTCTGTCGGCCGCTAGATAAATAACTGGTGGCCGCCAGAAACTTATCTGGCGGCCGCCAGATAAAAAGATCTGGCGGCCGACAGAAATTATGTGGCGGCCGCCAGATAAAATATTTTTCTACCTGGCACCTACCGGCTTCCGTAACATTCGACTAAACGATAGATTGTATTTGCTAACTAGGCCATTGTATCGACCAAAGAATTTACGAATTGTTGACTTCAAACGAGACTGCTGATATCACTTATTTGTCAATAGCTTGCCTCGTTTCAGAAATTGTTCGTATACATTAAACTGGGGGACATAAATTCCATAAGCAGGTGATAAAGGTATATTGCTACATGTGAAATAAGGGAAGCTGACGATAGGAAAGTCGAATTCATCACGTTTACCATAAAGTTTGGCTACTAGTTTGCCACAAATATCTTTCTCTAGTGAAATATCCAAGTATGAAACAGACGTGTAAGACTCTGTGTTGTCTTTTATTTCGAGTTCAAAGGGTTATATCGAATCAAAATCAACTTAGAAATGAAAATGAATATTGTTAATTGATAAAATGTCCATATATACTTGTAGCTAAAAGTCGAATTGAAGGTCACAGCAAGATACCTTCTTTTTCATGTAGAAGATTGGAACGGAACTTGTGAACTCAAATGAACATTCGCACCTTACTTTAAAACGACATTTGAGCTTTGTTAAGAGTTGTGCTAATAGCGAATGCGTTTGGTCAGTTTGTGTGTTCAGGATCTGTTTAATTCTTTAAGTGGTTTTAAATCGGCCTGATTAACACATGTAGATAAGGCTTCATTGATTTCGTCCTTAATATACATGTCTTGTGTAAATATTTCAGTAAGGAATACGGAGATTGATTCGTGATTACGTACATAAACGTTTGTTCAGGATGGAGTACTCAAATGGCTTAAAAAATCTAATCTAAAGCTGTAACGCTCCCATTTTGTCATGTTTTTAAACAAAGCACTCATTTATCTACAAAATGTTCCAAATCTGTAAAAAAGCAGTAAAAAAAATCATCTTTTGGTTTGAATCTATAAACGTTACAACAAAATGATAACAAAGATTCAAGAAAAAAAAGCTTTTTTGTTGTATTACTTACATGTTTAGGAAATATTCAGTAAAATCAGGGGCCTATATACTAACATATATATATATATAGGTCCCTGGTAAAATTCAAAATGAGTCTGATTCAAATAATACACCTTTGCAAATTCTTATCTTCTTTTCAAAGGCATAATAGTATAATTGGCTGTACTCTTTAGAACAAATGATTTGTGTATCGTTTAAATTGTAATCGAGATTTTTTTAGCTTAACTAGATACATGTATATATTCTTCCATAATGAACTGGACTGAAAATAGCATTGATAAACCATTGCAAGACATACAAAATAGAAAATGAGGAGAATGATATCTGTAAAGTTATATAAATGGAAAATCCTCTATCCCTATCTCTCATAATCGGTAAAGTCTTTGCTCTTGTCCAAGTCCATCCAAGACAAAACATGAACCCTGTAAATGTAAAGCACTTCCTCCGCAGAGTTCAAATGGATGGAAGTAAATGTACTCACCACTGGGGGATGGAAGTAAATGTACTCACCACTGGGGGATGGAAGTAAATGTACTCACCACTGGGGGATGGAAGTAAATGTACTCACCACTGGGGGATAACGTTCCTTAAGCAGCTGTTCAGCCTGTACCAAGCCGATATATTCTAATTTCGCTGCTTCTAAATCCTCTGTTGGCACATATCCTTCTATCTCCTGTAGGGTTTTCTGAATGTTGCTGCGAGTATGTCGTTTCAAAGACGGTAAATTCAGATCTGGTTGGCGCTTTGGCGCAGTGGCAGCTGTTTTATGCATCGTTCATAGGTCACTGAAGTTTCTGAAATTTTGTACGGCAATGGTCAGTTATTGATTCTTTGTCGTTGAGCAACTCCTAACTGAAACGCTAAAATAGTCTCTTATGTAAGAAGATTAGAGTAGGCTTAAGAGTTTTAATAAATATACATCTAGAAATACCGGAATCAATAGGAGAAATATTTACATTACTAAAACGTTACCTTTTTATCTACACATTTGGCCAGCACAAAGAATCGGAAACATTTTAAGATAACGTCCATAGACGCCAAAATTGAATTTAGAAATGTATGTTTTAAACTTAACATTTATTTCGTAAACCACTCTAGTCGTTCCAGCACATGTAGTATTGGACTTTAAAAGTATGAATTCTTTGTGGAAATTGATTAAATTTATTGACGCGCATATAATGTATCAAGCATAAAAATAACTGACCCCAGAAAAAAAAAGACTGGGTGTAAAGAAATGAAAGTGGCTTACCCAATGTTAGGATGATTTAGATGTAATCCCTGGATTCAAATGGTGTGAGGATCAATATAGCATTGTATTCCAAACACTTAGATCAGATTGACATTCAATTCAGCATTGATTAAAAGTTAATGTGCTGTGACGTAAATAGGCATATTGGAACAGAATCGTTTAACTATTAAGAAATCAGCGAATCGTCCCTTCCTGGGGGTCGACAGGTTGTGTTTTCTGATTTTTCACCTGATACACGATATCCTTAAGATTTAAAAGGAATAATATGCAAGAACACAGGACCAAGTGGACGTCAAAAATTAGAAGAGTCAAGCATGGTTGATAAAATCTCCATAAATATTTGTTCGGCTCTTTTGTTTAGTTTAAATAAACTCGTGTTAAGAATGGAAACACTTCGACACTCTCTTACTGAGAGCATACGTTGACAGTATATTTTCAAGAGAGAACTCTTCTTAGTAACCGAACAACAAGGTTAAATTAGTTATTGATAAATCACACAAAAATCGATTTACCTCATAAATGGCAAAGGATACAAATGTGCTTTGAATGAGAAACTAACTCATTAATTTCACTGGTGATTTCAACAAGAAAACACCTTTTTCATTAAATATTGCACCCAAACTAACGACCAAACATCGTCTCTCATCTTGGTCACCAATCCATGACTATATATAGCAGCTGATTATTAATTGTTTCTTATAAAATACAACAGTGTCATTTTAAAAAGGTCTCCAAATGTAGCGTCCCCAACCCTTGATCTGATAATATCGAATCTGTCAATGTAATAATATGGCTGTCAAATGCAACATAGATGTCTGTCCAGGGACATACGGTAGACACCGTCTTCCTGTCATAAACAATTAAATTAACGCTTATCCACACGCACGGTTAATCAAATAAAGATCTTGTGGGTCATGAGTAATTGTACAAGTTAATTTGGCTCAGAATCCATTTTGATGCAGCAATAGAAACAGCTCATGAACGGTCTTTAGAATCCGAGTAACAAAGAATTACGATACATGGCCATAGGAATCGGGGGAGGGGGTACGCCCCTACACCTAAAGCTACGTGCATGTTCCTGACTGCATTTCTGTCCAGGCATCTAAGACCGAATTTAAATTTATTTTTTTTTTCAGACATGCTTTTCAAAGAAGTCATGAATTTTGTTTTTATCGCATATGTAAAAATAAAAATCTTTATATCAGAAGCAAGATACCGAAAGTTTATTAACGCAACCACTACGTCAGTTTCATTTCTTGTGTAAAGTAAATGTGTTTAACGCAAATTTCAGAAGCCCTATACATTTTATTGAAGATACATTTGTATCAGTCTATTAAGTGTACATCTACATGTACGGGCAAAACAATAATATCAATAATATCACCTAGAAGCTTTAATAAGAATCACCTCTTTATGTTAACATAAAGTTAACACAGAGTCTGACACACCTGTTTCATAAAAGATATTTTACTTGAAAAAGACGTTAATGGAAATCTATCAACCAAGCTTTATGATAAACGCGATGACTTTAACTTTTCAATCGTCAACTTCTCTTACTTATGCAGCAATATACCTTCGTTCGGGGTTTATATCTCTCAGTTGATTCGATACCAAGAGCATGCTCTACGTATGTACAATTTCTGAAACGAAGTATATTATTGACAAACAAGTTGATGAAACAAGAATATCAGCAGTCTCGTTTAAAGTCATCATTTCGTAAGTTCTGTGGTCGATACAATGAATTTGTCAGCAAATACAATTTATCATTGAGTCAAATGCTGTCTGACGTTTTTCATACTAATTGTTAGGCCATTATTTACACACTGAATTGTCAACGGATTTTTCCGTTATTTCACGATCATGACAAGGAGCACACGGCGGGTGTGACCGGTCGGTAGGGGATGCTCACTCCTCCATGGCACCTGATCCCACCTCTGATGATTTGGAGGTCCGTGTTTGCTCTGCTTCTATTTTGTATTGTTTAATGGACTTTTGAGCTTGAATACTGTTCGTTATCTCCATATATTTCATCCTTTATAAGAGGCACTGTACTCCAAATCTCTCTCTCTATCTCTCTCTCTCTTTCAAAATTCTACATAATTATTTTCCTTTTATTAATACAATTTTTACATCTTGAAAATGAACAAAAGTGTGTTTTTCGAACGCTCTTCCATATGGAAAATCAACAGACTCTGTAAAAAATTTCCTCTTACTTCTGAAAATGTTTTCATGTAACCCTTTATTTGTAAATTGTAAATCCAAATTTTTTTTATTTGTCATTTACATTTTACGTACACTTGTCAAGTTATGTTGAATAGTTACAATTCACAATTTGTGATAGAACAATTCATAAAATATGAAATTATGATTCACAAATAAAGGTTTACATGTGTAGATTATACAGAATTGGAATTTTGAACCCGTTGGCTTTCCATACTTCCATACATTTATTAAGCAAAACAGATACTAGTAATTACTTGAAACAGAGTATCCTTCATTATATAGGAGATTCCATGTCAAAATGGCTCTACTACACCTTTTGACAACAATGGACCATTCTCATATAAATACAATATAGGCCATACTGTAAAGTGCACAATCTTCCCATGTTTCGAGTGTTCCTTCATATGGTCGTTCATTTTTAAGCCTTCTTCGGGCCACACAAGTTTCATGGGTGGATCCTGAATTGAAAATAACCAGCATATTCGAACACAGCTCTCAACATAGTTCATTATTTCTTTAGATTTATCCCATCCTGTTTCTGCAAATGCACCACCGTGTGTATACCAAAAGATCTGTAAAATGATTTTTTAAAAAAAATGCAAGACTGTGTTTATTCTAAACGATTCGTAAAATCAAAACAAGGAAACATGAGATTGTAATATCTAATACATATTTAAGTAAATTCGACCTTCCTCTGAATACAAATAAATTTGAGGAACAGTATAAAGTCTGTGTGTTTTGTCAAAACCCTCAAAATATTTACCTCCTGAACAGCAGGTACAGCGTATAAGCCCGTCTCTTGTTGTATCTGGTGAACTCTGGGCTGTAGCTTCTGTTCTATATTAGGGCTTACTCTGGCCTAAGAAATATAACAGGGCTTAAAACATATGGTAAGATTATTCAGAAATTACTGTTTTAAAGAGCATGTCATAGAAAAAATTGAAGTTAAGGTTTGCCGTTTCTCTGTTCACTCATATAAAATTCTTCAACGCTAATTATTTCATAATAGAAACCATTATGATTAAAATACACAATTTCTGCATACTGTACATTGTAGGTCACTTAAGTTTTGCGACAGCTTATTTTTGCGAGATTGCAGTTTGGTATTTATCAAGCAAAATATATTTTTCAGGAATTTTGGTTATTGCTCTATATAATCTTTAAAAGTAGAATTATATAGATTTTCGCGAGCAGACGGTCTTGTGTAGTTACGTTCACGCGAATAAAAAGTGTTTTATAGTATCCTGCGGGGAAACTTTGGTCTGACATTGAATTTTCACTAGACAATTTAAGAATACTTTTTTTGCCAGTGAGAGTTATCTCTCTTGCAAGAGGGTCAGTGAGAGTTATCTCTCTTGTTAGAGGGTCAATTAGAGTTATCTCTCTTGTAAGAGGGTTATTTTTTTCGTACAGCCGACTGCTACGCCTTTTTTTTTTTATAATCATGTACATTAATTTACTTCTTGTCGAGAAACATAATTCAAAATGATTATAAAGTATACTACTTATACAGCACGTCGCCCGCGTGGCGCAGTGGTTAGAGCGTCTGCTCTAGAGTCGCGAAGTAAGGAGTTGATCCTTACGTCGCGGGTTCGAATCCCACTGTGGGACGTGGAGACCGGTCCTTCGGATGAGACCGTATAAACCGAGGTCCCGTGTCGCAGTAGGTGCTGGCACGAAAAAGATCCCTCACTGCTCAATGGCCGTAAGTGCCGAGTATAGGACAAAATTTGCAGCTCTCCACCGGCAAGTGGTGGCGTCTCCATATGAGTGAAAAATTCTCCAGAGGGACGTTAAACAACAAACAAACAAACAAACAAAACTTATACAGCATTTTTTTTATGTATAGTACAGTCTGTCCCACGGTTCAAGCGCCACTTCTTTTTGCATTAGATTGCATATCTAAAAATCCAAAAAGTTTCGAGAAAATTATGAGATAAAAAAAATTTCCTTAGGTTTTTGCTTTGATAGGATCCACTTCTGAAACTGGTGTATTTTTAATCATAGCAATAACATTTTATACGGGTGTTTAAGTGTTTAAAAGTTTGACAAAAATGGCCGAAAATAAATGGCCGAAAATTTGGAAAATGCTATTGGTATATCAACGATGATTTTGTGATTTTCTGTTGCTTGCCTTCAGTGACGTAATGAGTTTTCTCAGGTTCGGAATCGATTTGGAGATAATACATTTTCTGATCTTCTGGCCAAAGACAATTTGACAGAATTAACAAAATTCATATTTAAATTTCTAGACATCAAGGAAAAATGCTATCTACTGGTTTGTTTCAGGTTTTAAGCATGCATCGAAACAGAGTAAAATGGTTTGGAAATGATAAAGGTGTAATGATACTCTTGTTCAAGATAAATAAAAAATGAGGCAGAAACGCTCACATATGGAACACATATTAATTTTTACCCACTCTCGGTGTCACTTACATTTGCTATTGCTGGTAATCCTAAGGGGTGAACTAGAGCCTCTGTTATTTTTCCTCTGTGTTTTCTAGCTTCTTCTCGACATAATTCATATGCCATCTGTTAAAACCCTTACCAGTATATATACATGTACTGAATCTTCCTAAAATATGCACTTATATGCAATATCTTTTAATAACATCAATGTTCATGGTGGTTTTAAAACCAAAAATCGGAGCAGATATATACATGTATACATGAACATAAGCATTTATTTCTGTCTTATATTTATGAAAATACCCCTCCCCCTAATATATTTCAAACTCCACTATCTACTTCACATAACTTACTTCTAACATTTTGCTCAATCTCCTAATTATTTCTTCTTCATTTCTTATTTGACCCATGTCTTTTAATGCTTTAAAAGCGCTAGTCCACTCCCTATGGTAGAGATCTTTGAAGTACTCAGCTATTTTTTCTGGCGTATTCAGATCACTAAGATCTATTTTAGTCCGATGGTGGTCTCTTCGTTTCTTGTCATCAACCATGGACAAACTAAAATAGAATGCAGTAATGAAGACGATTCAAGCAAGTAATGTTATGGTCACATGCACGTACCGTATCAGGAATACACTATCATTTTAGAATATTTTCTGCGGAAAAATTTTCTAAGAATTACGTACCTTGATTTGCGATCCTCACTTGTTTCCAAATATTCTGAATTAGTAGATCCTGCAGGTGAATTCTTCATAGGAAAAATTGTACATTCATTTTAATTTTCAAAACACATTTAAAAAAAAAATAAAAGAATTATCAATAGTGTGATACTTCTTTTTATTTGATTCGTTAATACATGTTTTAGTTTCTTATTATTTTTTTTTTTAGAAAAATATATATTCACAAGATGTTTATGTTCTTCTCATTTTGGGACGAGAAATTGCAGGGTTTTTTAATGTATATTTTAGGATCTGTGCATTTAAGGTCTGACGACACGTTGCTCGAGTATCTGATTTGTATCTCTTCGTAATATACAACAAATTTATCGCATGATAATTATCAATGTCTTGTGATTTTTAAACTATTTCTAAAATTTCTAAGTAGATAAATATACCAACAAATTGCGATATTGGCAGTGTCAGTGATTTCAAATAGGATAATATAGTAAATAGCATCTTATGGTATCTTGAACAAATGCCTGGTAATGTAACTTAAATTTTTGTGAGGAAACTTGTTAAAGTAGCAATACTTCAATGACAAAATTTTTGAAAAAGGTTATATTATTGAGGAACGTGTCGTCTGACCTTAAATATACTTTTGCATATACTTACACTGAAGATAAACTCTGGAACAACTGATTGTCTTTGGAGGTAGTTTTGGTATTCTTTCAACAGATTGTGGAATTTTTCCTCGCCGTCTGCCTTGTATTTTAATATTTCTTGTAAATGTCTAGACTGGGCAGCATTCAAAAGCCTCATTATATCTCTCTGTAAATGGGGAAAAAGACTTTAAACTGCACATTATCTGTTATTCTGTAAACATCCTTTTTGAAATTAAAAAAGAATAAAGTAGAACATGCCAATTTGTATTCGATTATTCAATTATAGAATACAAATAACTTTTATTACCGAATACATATGGGAGTCAAATACAAGACAAATTGAAACATTACAGAATACACACAGTGTAATATGCGATGCAGATGTAAATCATGGGCGCTCCCCGTGTAATTCTGTAAATGAAAAATGACAAGTACAATATATATAGGTCTCTTCCTCTATACTATAAAAATCAACTTATTATAGAGGGGTACACCTATATTTATTATACCTCCAATTAGAATGAAAGAATCTGATTGGTTGATGAGAAAACATTAAAATTAGCTTATGACCCGTTTTTGTGTCACATGACCATTAATGACTTGATTTTTGCATGTATATGAGATATTGACCGGTCATTAATATTATTGACCGCTGAACCTGACCTGTGCAGAAAATAAAAATGGCGGAACATATGACCGCTTCGTTTTTTCTTCATGTTTACTGTACCGTTTTTAGATAAAGACTATAACTGTAAGTTATTCTCGAGAAATAAGATACAGACTATAAAATTGTGTACTACGTCACTTCTCATGAGTAATTTGTCGTCTGTTTACAAAAACGATGGCTGGCGAATCGAGGTTTGCAACTCTGACAAGTGAGGAACTACAAGCAATCCTAGAAAACCGCGATAGTTCCAACACAAAACAATGTACAGACTCAGCGAAACGAGTGTTCATTACATACTGCACTGAAAAAGGACTGATTGTGGACAACATACTGCAAAAAACAAAAGGTGAAATTGCTGAAATTCTGATCAACTTTTACGCTGAACTCCGAAGAAAAGATGGTGAATTGTATAGTAGATCTTCCATGATCAGCATCAGGTTTGGTTTGCAGAGATTTTTCCAAAAAAATAAATATGACATTATTAATGACCCAGATTTTCGTCTATCAAACGAAATGTTCAAGGCAGTTTTGACAAACATCAAACGAACTGGAAAGGGAACCACTCAACACAAGGAAATTATCAGCGATGCTGACATGGCAACATTGTATAGTAGCGGCGTCCTAAACGGAAACAGTCCACAGGGATTGCAATATAAAGTTTTTCTTGATGTGATGTTCTACACATGTAGAAGAGGAAGGGAAAATCTGAGAAGCATGAAGAAAACTGATTTTGTTTTGAGGACAGATGGCCAAGGAAGGAGGTATTATCTTAATGTCGCTCAGTATGAAACCAAAAATCACAGAGGAAGTGATGTGAATGACCATGATGCATCTTCAGCAAGAATATATGAAATACCAGGTAATATACTTCTTAAAATACATGTAAAATAAAATTAATGTAAACTTCAGCATTTACTAATATTAGATCATATATTTGTCTATGTGACAATTTTCATGAATTCAACTGATTTACAATTTTTCATATTAATATGTCCATGTAGGTGATGAGAAGTGTCCTGTGTCTAGTCTGGAGAAATACCTCGGAAAGCTGAATCCAAATTTTTGGCAGAGACCGAAGCGCCATATCAACGATTCAGATGCTGTTTGGTATGACAATTCTCCAGTAGGTCATAATACTTTGGGAAATTTTATGAAAACAATATCTATGAAAGCCGAACTCTCAACTCTGTATACAAACCACTGCATACGTGCCACGTGTATTACTAGTTTGGATCAGGGTGGGATAGAAGCTCGACACATCATGTCTGTCAGTGGACATAAGTCCGAAACTTCCATAAAAAGCTATTCAAGATGTGTAAGTGAAACAAAAAAGCAAGAAATGTTTGATGTATTGTCATCTGTGGTTTACCCATCACCAAAGCTAGGGCTAGAAAACCCAGTTGTTCCAACAAATTCTTGTACCAGTACTTCAGAAAGTCAGCTCTTAAATTTGAATAACTGTGAATTTGAGACTGTCAGTACCAAACAATTGCTATCTGAAGTCCTACATGATGAAAATGGTTCAGATTTGTTTGCAAATGTTCCAGAAGAAAAGGAGAATGTTAAAGTTGACCAAACGCCTCAAAACTCTTGTGGCCCATTATTCAAAAATGTCGGTCAAGTGCACATTCACTATTACGTGGGAAAAGAACAACAAAAGTAAAGATACTGTAAAGTTCTTTATTGGACTCTGTAAATCATTTAATGATTCTAAGATGTGTTTTTTCACTTTTCAATTGAACATTCAAATTCAAAGTTATTGCTGCTTAAATCGTTATTTCAGAATATGCATTATTCTGTTGAAATAAAATGTTACATATGTGTTAAAATTGATTATTATTATTGTCGGTATAATAAAACAATTGATCACCCTTCATGAGGTCAGCATGGTGAAATGATGCCCCTTGACCTGACCCACTCGATGACCTGACCTGACCTCGGCCGTTGGCCTCGGTCAGGTCAGGTCACCTCGTGGGTCAGGTCTCGGGTCATCATTTCACCATGTTGACCTCATGAAGGGTGATTAATTGTACAATATATACTGTACTCATCATTCGTCATTTACAGATTTACACTGGGAGCGCCTATGATGTAAATGATAAATAACGAAATATAGAATGCAAATGTACAAACAAATTATTGCAAGTAATCTACAAATATTTGAATTTTTTATCTAATGATTTCAAAAATGAATACAGTAAGGTAAAAATCGATTTAAAAACAACAGAGAGTTGATAAAAATGTTATAAATTTTTATTTTTTAACTTTGGAAAGTAACACATAATTGTTAAAACACCCCCACCCCAGCCATTCAATTACAGCGCACAACAATTGCAGCTTCATTTCTATGGTACATTAGGTTCATCAATCTCGAGATCTGAGCGAAAGAAATAATCTTTGGCATTTTTAAGTGCCTGTTTTTCAAATGATGAGGTCGAATTTTTCTCGAACCTAGCGCAAAGTAGTTAATTTCAAACATGTCAAGTTTTAAATGCATGGTTCTCTGAACAGAATTTATTATAATGGTAGACACACTTCCTCTCTACACTCACCTGTGTGTCGGGAATCAGCATGGGTATAGTCTGGCATATTGCGTTAAGTTCTCGAATGGCTATTTCTACATCTGATGAACTGAAGTCGCTCTCATAATATTTACACTGATGGATTTTGTCGAAAACTTTCTTCAAATACGCGTATTTGTCAGACATCTTTATTTCTCCTCACCTGTAACCTCTTTTTCTATAATAAACGAATAAAGTCTTAACTAAATTGACTTCTATAACACTATAGACTTTGACTGACGTGCAGTGTTTACCTTCAGACAATTCCTATACAAATCCCTGTGTGCGCGATGTTGTTATCAATCTATTAATCAATTACTTTAAATGTTCAAATAGCTGACAATGTAAAACATACAATTAATTGATTATACATCAAATTTATGAAGTAATGTTTGTAAATTAGACATTGATTTTAAACTGAATATTGTACTGTTTTCTTTTTATTCCATATTTTGATACAAACACATTCAATAAGCTGTTAGTACTTACCTACTCTACTATATATTATCTTCTGAAAAAGATCGTGATCTTAACTAAAGAATAACTGACACGGTGGATAACAGGGTCACTGAGGTTATGTGTGTACCTCTATATTTAAAAAAAAAAACCCACTCCAATAAGAATTCCCTCCATCTGGCTTTATTGGAGATTGGCCGTCACCCTACACAGTGTATGGCCCGTAACTCTTGTCAGAATTACTTAACAGTAAAAACAAAAGGTTACCCTAGAATTATTGTATTTTGCAGTACTCAGAAAGCATTCAATAATTCTACAGAAAAAACAATTCAAATTATGTTGTATAATTATTCTATTATAAAGGAACAAAAAAATCTTTTGTTCCATTATGTTTTCCCTGTGTTGGCCTCAGTTCGATCCGAAATATTTCAAAGACCATTCTTTAGTATATATACAATAAGCTACTGCCAAACAAACTGATCTCCTCAACTATCAGAAAGATCATTTTGTCTGTTTAAAGATATAGAGATTGAAAGATTTAAAAATCAATACAGAAATGTAAATGCAAATGTTTGATGCACTCAAAGCAGATTTGGTCCTTATAAAATTAAACCTGTAGAACACTACAGCTTGTAAATTTTAGCAATGTACATGACAAAAATTTATGGAGTTTTATTTGGACCTCTGTTTATTCAATTGTTGTGTCTGCTTGATTTTAAATACTTTGATGTGATAGTTTTCTGAAGGAAGTGCCAAATCAAAGAAAAGTCATATTTTGAATGAAAAAAATCTTAAACTACAATTTGACTGATAATTTTAAAAAATCCCAAGCTTTTTTTATGTTAATGTTCTGTGATTTTATGGGGTTTTTTTCTATTTAAATGGCAACCTTCATTTAGTAAAAAATTTAATGCTTATCATATTACTGATAATTTATAAAAAGTGCAATGACTCTTTAAAATTCAATTTAGACCTATTATATAAATGATGTCTTAAGAAAAACAATCAATATTTTCATGTAGTGTGTAAAATTTGACACTCTTGGAAGGCATTAGTCTATTGCCGCCTTTATAAACTAATATTATAATATATGAGACATTTGTACGAAATATGAAGGAACATGTTAAAGACACGCAAATCATTGCCCCATTCTCCAGAAAAAAGCCCCCTTGTCAGTGAATGAATTGCAGAATATATTCATTGTTTAGAGAATCTTTAATGAATTGGTAGAAACAGTCTTGGACCCCCAGGGTCAGCTGCCAAGTAGGTACATGTAAATCTGTTGCTTCAACACAGATGAATGCAATATTTCCATTCGTATGTCGACTCGATATATCCCAGTGAACTTGAAATAAAGACACCACAGAGTATGCCACATTTGTTTCATATTTAGATATTTTACCGTCTATAGACGATAAAGGCCTATTAACAACTAAATTGTATGACAAGCGAGACTTTAGCTTTTCCATCGTCAACTTTCCTTATTTATGTAGTAATATTCCACTTTCTCCTGCTTATGGTGTTTATGTCTCCCAACTTATTTGCTACTCAAGAGCTTGGCAATGCTCCGAGTACGATCAATTTTTAAAGCGAGGCAGGCTACTCACTGATGAGTTGATGTTACTGGGATTTCAACAACCTCGTAAAAGTCAGTATTTCGTAAATTTTATGGTCGTTATAATGACCTTGTTAGTAAATATAACCTATAATTGGGTCGTATTTTGGCTGACTTGTTTCATTACGATTGTTAGGCCTTTGTTTTTGTACTGATAGTTCCATCTATCTGCTCGATACATAGGGCTCACGGCGGGTGTGACCAGTCAACAGGGGATGCTTACTCCTCTTAAGCACCTGATCCCACCTCTTTAATTTCCAGAGATCCGTGTTTTATGCCCTCTTCACATGTTTGTATTGTTTTTGGATTTTTTGAGATTGATCACTGTTTGTTATCTTTACCTTTTACGTTTTGGGACATGAAAATATTAGTTACAGAGTATAATTCGTATGCTTAGTCTATTCATTGATATTTTTAAGAATGCATAATTTAAATATAATAATAATAATTATGAATGCCTCAGAGATGGCTTAACATTTATTTTTTGTACCTCACGAACTATAGTTTAGGGAAAAATCTTTTTTTTAAAGATAACCAAATATAATTTTAACATACAGATTTAATACATAGAGTAACAAAAATACATGCCGTGGGTGAGTGCCAATATCTATTTCAACAACTAGTATTTCCGTGTTCTTAATTACTGTAACATTATAACACTTTCTTAAAGATTTTCTTGTCACAATTTCAAAGAAGTAAAGTACATTTTTATGACTTTCTGTGTTTCATTTCTAACGTTGACTCCATGCAGAAATAATACATTCAACATAATTATGGATTGCAATAACTCTGTGAAAATTATTTCCTTTGCAAACCAATGAAAGTTATGAATTCGTTTTAATTGATTTATCATACTGGTTGGACAACACCTTTGGACATCAAGGGACCGTTTCTATGTAGATATAATGTTGGCCACACGACATAGCTGATCGTAGTTCCCCGTTTTGTAAATTCGTTGACGTGCTCATCAATTTTACTTTGTTCCTTTGGCCACCACAACTGCATAGGTGGATCTTGAATTGCAAATAGCCAGCAAATTCGTACACAGTTCTTTATGTAAGTCATTATTTCCGGTGATTCATCCCAGTCGTTCATCTTAATTTCCCTTTCATGGTCTTGTTGAAACATCTGAAAATCAGAGATTATATATTTTTTTTTTTAACTTAAAATCATCATAGCACAGAGGGAAATTAAAAAAATTGATTTGTTTACTTATTGTTTTCAAGAAATTAAAAATGAAATTCACTTACTCCAAAGAAATTGAAAATTTAAATATTTTAACATTTGGTATACCTCTTGTATGGCAGGAATGGCGTAGACGCCTGTTTCTCGTTGTATCTGACGGATTTTTGGGCGTAGTTTTTCCTCAACATTAGGTTCTACACTGGCCTACAACAATGAACGAGATAACATAGTAGATACAGAATTCTTTCTGTGATATGGCATCTCGTAACCGTTTTACTACTAATGTTTATATTTCACAGCTTGATAAATCATTCTACATGTAATAAAAGAAACATTCTCACACCTTCAATTTCGAAAGCAAAGGCATAATTTTTAACAAAATAAAATAATGAAATGTTTCTATACATGTAAAAGACAATAAAAATTTAATGAACGTTTAATTCCATTGACTGGATGCTAGAGTTGTATTGCTCATTACATTCAATGTTAGGTGAATTCCCACGGGATATACTAGTGTTTCTCGGATTTTTTCTCTGTGCTTCCTTGCTTCTTCAAGACAAAACTCATAAGCCATCTGTAAAAAAAAATACAATAAATATATAAAAATATTCAGTAGCCAAGTACTTTATTTTAGTGTTTCTCAGAACACAGACGCCTGAAACTTATCAATAAGCTACAAAAAAACTCAAAAATCCTACCCTTTTATATGTAAAAACACTATAGAGGGGTAGAATTTTCTGATCTAAGGTTATATTTGCAACTCAATGATAAAATATCAGGTATCTGTGCTCAGAAATAGAATTGTACTCGTACCCCAATTCGTAATGGTTCTGAATCCTTCAATATTCAATATAATATTTTGAATTCTTTGGTTTAACATTTAATTTTGTGATATCATGATAATTATAATAATATGAATTATTATTATAATATCACACATATGGCTGACCTTTAACATTTTACCAAGTTTCTTTACTATATCTTCTTCGTTTCTAAGCTGCCACTTTTTGTGTAGTACGTCATAAGCACTGGTCCACTCGTTGTCGTATAGTTCCTTGAAGTACTCCGCTAGTTTAGTTGGTCTGTTAATATCACTGAGATCCGCTATAGACGGATTGTTATCCCTCAGCTTCTCCCCAGCAACCTTGCTTAACCTGTTCATGTAATTGTTATACTAACAGATATATGTTTTTAAAAATTGGCAATGTACTTACATGTATACAGATTTTTTATTTATTATTTACTAGCACTACATCAAGTGAAAACGGATCAAGACAGACAGGTAGACGTCAACATTTTTTTTTCAAATCGCCTGTTTTTCAAATTTTATTTCATACCTGTTTTTAAGTTCGTTAATTTCTATGTCTTTCCGAGCCATTTCGTTACTAGTTTTTGAAGCCGTTGATTTTGCAGATCCTTTATATTCCGGATTTGGTCTGGCTTCAGAGGATTTTGCACTCCCTTTCTGTGAGCTCTGTGTATACAAGTAGAGTATAGAAACTCAGGTATTGTACAATATATTCATACCCGACACAATCCTAAAATAATATGTATGATCAACATTGTATATTTGTACATTGAGTTACTAGTGCATTAATAAGTTAGATGTTTGTTGTTAAATTACTACTTTGTTACAAATGCATGAATTTGAGCGATATTTAATTAATATCTCTTGATATTATTTTTCTTTTTCTTTAAATATTATTATGACAATAACAATTTGTTTAGTTTTTATTATACAATTATGGACTCTTTTGGTGATGAGTACGGTTTGATATTCACCAGAAAAATATGAATATTGATTTATTGACCGTGACGAACTTATTTTACATACATGCACACGTTCATCTGAGGTTTTGACTCTTGGTTCCAAAGACTTTTCAAACTCTGATAAAACCGTTAAATATCTAGGCATGATTTCATGTTGCTTCTTAAATCTAATCAATTCTTGTGGCTTTCTGGATTCTGCCAAATCAAGGAATTTGAGTAAATCTACCTGAAACAGAACATAAAGGAATATCTTGTGAGCACGTGTAAAAAGTGATAACATGTACGAGTACTACATATATTTTATTCTTACCTGGATATAGGCAGGTATAGACGACAGTGAATGGCATATAGCCGCCAGTTCTCGCTTTGCGTACTCTACATCAGAATCACTGAAATCGCTTGCGTAATAACTTCTGTTTTCTATGCAATCCACAACTTTCTTCAAATGGCGATATTTATCCTCCATCCTTTCTCATTCAGAAACAAAAAAAAAACAACAACAAAAAACAAAAAAAACAAACAAACAAACAAAAATCAGACAAAGTGAAACAGAAAGATGTCACTTGTCGCCATTAAATACTGAATATTTTTCCAATTTTTTTTACTCTGAACTTAGGTTGTTGTTGTTTTTTTATGTGCTGCTATTTAAATCAATAGATATTCATCTTCAATTGCTATCCTCTGTTATTCCCGCATCTAGAACAATATACGGAATATCAGTTTAAGATAGATATCTGTATTGATTTATGAAGACATAAAGTTTTGTTTATCACCCGAATCAAACTTTAACGTGTTTAAAAACCAAATGCTTGTAGGTACTGGGAATGGGTAGTCTTCAAGCCGAAGGCCATTATCTTTACAACATGCCTTTTTTAATTCATAAAATATTCACTGTATAAATGCATTTAATACATAACAAAGTTTCAAACTTCTATGATATATGCATTTTAATTCATCATTTGTTATATTAATGTTAACTAGGTTAAGCTTCTTTTACAGACTTACCTGTGGTCAGAATCTACTTCCTGTTTCGGTTTCACGAAATTTTCATGACAACGGCAAACAAAAACCAAGAGGCTCTGTAAGGGGGCTTATCCATAAATAAGATACAAGTGTTATTCATTTATTAATCTATTTTTTGAAGGTTATAAATACACGTACTATATATATAAAATTATATATCATGGACTGAACTTGAAGATAAAAAAAAAAAAAAAAAAAAAAAAAAAAAAAAAAAAACAACTTGCATCTAAACTTGTATCTATAGTTTCGAAGTATATATATAATATGATACATGTACATATTAACTATGCTTCACATGTAACTATACATTTTATTTCAATTCCCATCGACAATATAATCTGAGAACGTATAGATGACGTTACAGCTTTATACTTCGTATGACTGACGAATCACAATATTAATTAGTAATTAAATTACCCCCTTTTTTCCCTCTATATGTAACTAAAAATGATATTAATTCCTTGTTACATTATATAAAAGTTACAATCATCACAAAATAATGTTACGATTTATACGTACATGATAAATTATCTAAATTCTTTATGAATTGCTTTAAAAATACTAGCATCTATTTGTGTATACAAAATAGATGCCTTTATTTTACGAGAAAAGTATATTTGCAGGGACCTATATACTAGTATATATGTCCCTTGTACGTTGGCTTTTAAGAGTCGGGCTTGGATGACACAGCAAGTGTTGTCTATATAAAGGGTCGGGTTTGTTCTTCACATTCCTTTCTGCTGAACATTTCAAAGGTAAAGACGCATATCAAATGCTTGCAAAGAATACATCTAATTTTTGCTTTGTTATTTTAAAAAATCGTATAATTTTCCATTTATGAATTGTTTTTCAACCATTTTAAAGCTTTTATTACTGTTGATGTTTATTAAATAAGGCGGATGATGTTGGATTCAAATTTTTACGAAGCAGACGACGCACACGCGGTTATGCCAAAAAATAATTAATTTACCTTTGTATTGTTATTAAATGATCAAATATTGGTTATCAACATTAATTATTGTCTTTTTGTTTCATACTGCGTCGAAATCGGAAAATGCAAACCCAGAATAGGGGAACAACAATATGGAAACTCGGTCGGACCTTTTTGTGGACACAGTGAGGATGGGCCCCAATATAAGTCAAAGAAAAGAATCGCAAATAGTCTGTGTAACAGTTGGAAAACCAGACATTGAATATATGTATCATCACAATCCAATACATCAGATACATCCACCACCTTTGAAATACATGAATCAGTTGAATGTGTACATGTATCGTGATTAATCTTTGCCATTGTAGAATGAGACCAAAATATAAGCAATAGACTGCTTATACAGTGTATAGATATTGCTTCTAAAAAAATCATTGCTTAAAGTGTTACCTTTCAAGCTTATGGTGTAGAATTTATTTCTGTTTTTTTCTAAAGAAAGGGGGGGGGGGCTTACAAAAAAAAAAAAAACAAAAAAAAACTAAAAAAAAAAAAAAAAACTATTAAGTTTCAAACAAAAGTACCAGAAAGTCAAGTTGAAAACAAAATATATTTAGATATAACTAACCAGTTAATCCTACAAAATTATGTCACAATAAAATAATCTTTCAAAATACATTCAAATCATATTATAATTTTACCATAGAATTCTCTCTAAATAAGGACAAAAGACTTGCAGTTGCCTGGAATTGTTCAAAACTAAGGTCAAAATAATTCAATAGATTTTGCGTAGATGCTATTGTTAGGTGCACATTGTACAGCAGCCTTAACTTTGCCATATGTCCGGTTATATTAGTAGAATGTTCTGGACCTATTATATATTTATATTAGCTGGTTTCTATTTGTGAGAGGATTAAATTTAGTTTTTGTATAAATTCAGGTTCTAAGTAATATAACCGATACAATGTTCTGTGTCATTGTAAAAGTAGAACTTTGTGAATATTTCAAATCCAACTATTAGGCACTACTCACAACAGGGCTCAGACTAAACAATCTTTAGTATGTGATGTATTTAAATAAAAGGGAGAATCAAACCACCTATCTTGCCCAGAGAAGAGTATTGTTATATTTATTTAAATGCTCCAGGGCTTTCCTGGATTTCAGTGCTTTGTATTCATGAAATTTTAGACTAATGTTGTGAAAATTTAGGAGGCTCTGATATATAGGTAAGTCATAAGATCAGTTGCATATCAGTAGTTATTACAGATTTACACAGCTTCCAGCTCAATATATATGACTTGAAACAGGGGGATCTTAATTGTGTGGGGTCTGGGAGCAGTAAACCCCTAGAAAGGGCCTTTCTCAAATCTCGTATCTTTAGGTGCTCTCGTTGAGGATTCTATTTGCTAGCTATTAAATTGGAAAAAATGATCTTGTAATACAAAAAGTGGGGGGGGGGGATTTATCATTGTTTAACCACATAATTTATCAATCTCATTGATAAAGTTTGAATGAAAAGGAAAATACAAAATATTTTTAGATAAACATCCATTTTCTATTACTGGAATTAGGATATCTTTATGATCCTGTAGAGTGCAAATGAAATGTTGGAAATTGCAACATCTTGTACAAGAATTTTTTTGTGATCACTTATTTATGAATACATGTACATGTATACCTTAATGACCAATTATTAAATCAAAAAAGTCAATACAGTCAAACCTCATTGTCTTGAACTTATGGGACAAGAAATAACTTTCAATTGAGATATCGGATATTTGAGATGTCAAGGGTAAAATGCTCAAGGAGTAGGTGTCAATCTGGAGTAACCATGTAATTTAAGATTTCAGTCTTCCAAATACCAGTTAAAATTACAATTACTTCTGTAAAGCAATTAAAACTTATAGAACATTCATCCGATTGTATGTTGCAAAATGAATATATGGCTTTATTTTAATTATATTTAGTTGTCTTTAGACATCAGAAGTGACCCAAAGAAAGACTTTGTCAAGTACATGTACCTTAAATTCTTAATAATGTAGCAATTATTTCTCATAAGTCCTAGAAGGATGCTTAAATTTTGTAATCTTATAGAGATAATGCTGATTGTTTGACTTCGGGCATTGGGCTTACATTTTAAGGTGTTTGGATCTGAAAACTCCTTGCAAGTTGCTTATATTTTGTAATTTTGTACATGTATATAATGCTGATTCTAAGACTTCAGGGTGTGCATTTGGTTTACATTTTTAATGAGTTTGGTTTTGTTTTTAATCAGAACACCAGAAAAATATAATTTCCTTTTTTGGATCAAGTCCATATTGATAGTAGTACTAGTTATATTCAGGCTCATTGCATATGAAAATATATCTCCAATTGGTGTCATTAATAATCAAACATCTATACCTAAAAGAATTTTATACTTTGCTATGCATTTTGTACTACACTGGAACAATATGGTCATGCAGAGCTGTATAGAGTTCTGATGCGCATACATGTGTCACAGGCATTAATAATGTTTATTGAAAGACTCTTTATCAGAGGTAAAGGAATTAGCACATAAATAAAGATTAGTTGAGTATACTAGTATGACAAGCATCTGTAATGAAATTGCAGCCTAAAAATCACAGGTTCAAATTGGCACCGTCAAAGTGCAAGATATCTTCATTGCAGCTAAACTGGTTATTGGTAAGTATAAATTTGAATAAACTTGTTACATGTATCAGGTAATGTATCTTTTTCTAGGAATATCATTAAGACCAGCATATGTTTTCAAAATATCATTATAATTGACAGTTCTACAACCATTGGTAACCATCACTAAGTAGTGTGATCTATTCTTATAATTGTGTAATCCACATTTGTGTTGGGAATCTCCCAAGAAACTACATATTTGGGTATCAATAGGATTATAGTAAGATTCAACCTTGAAAATGGGAGTTTTTGAAATGTAATTAAGGATTTCAAATAGCTCTGCTTAAATTTGCTAATTAGAGAGTGAATGTCTCACCTTCGGTGACATGAAACTTGGTTCATCAAATAGCAGCATATACATTGGCTTTCCTAGCAATTTTCATGGATCGAGAATTATGCTATATGTAATGATAATGAATGAAACTCCCCCTATTTGGTTATAAATCTCCAGATATTTGTTTTTGATGAATTACAACCTATATATAAAACTTGCCTTGGCTAATGGACAATTCAAAACAAAATTAACAAGCAATGGTAAACTTCATGTAAATGCATTGCAAGGTGGCATATACATTTGTGAGGCAGGATAGTAGGGAAGTTTCTTTCTACAAGACCAAAGCTTTATTAGGCATTGAGGGAATAGGTGAGATACATGACATTATATATATATATATGATATCATATCACAATATCAAGTCTCGTTTAAAGTCATCATTTCGTAAGTTCTATGGTCGATACAATGACCTTGTCAGCAAAAAAAAAATCTATCACTAAGTCAAATGCTGACTGATGTTTTTCATACTTCCTGGTAGTTGTTAGACCATTTATATTATTTACACACTGAATTATCGACAGATTTTTCTGTTATTTCCCTGTCATGATAAGGACACAGCAGGTGTGACCGGTCGGCAGAGGATGCTCACTCCTCCAGGGCACCTGATCCCACCTCTATGTTTCAGAGGTTTCAGAGATGTTTGCTCTGCTCCACATATTTCATTGGCAAGTTTTGATTACTTAATGTGTTATAGCACCTTTCTTAATAGAGGGAAATTCAAAATTAATTCCAAGTCTGCTGAAGGATGAACACATCCATACATCAAGATGTGTGCAAGTACCCATTGGGGAGGGGGGTCTTGGGCAGTATTGGTCGTGGAACAGTTGACTTGTTTTGCTTCCCCCAATGTGTGGGGTGACTGCAATCTGTGCCAGCTTGCAGCCATGTGGCGTCTGCGCACACCAAGTCAACTGATAACTGAATATTTGTGTGAAACTTGTACTGAACTGTCACCTTGTTGATATGCTAATGCTAGTGTAAACTAAGCTAATAAGCTTACTCTTGGTGACAGTGATATATACTTTAGAGCTGTAATATATAGTACAAGTTTGAAATATGAAAAAGTTTGATATGTGAAGTTTGAGATGTTTGATCTATGAAGTTTGAGATATTTGATATATATTATGTACAAGATTTCATATGTGAAGTTGATATGATTGATATTTGAAGTTTGAGATATGACTTTGATTTTGAACAGTTTGTATGTTGATTTTGAACAGTTTGTATGTGTGCTGACCCTCCGCGTTAAACCCGGGACGGTTGGAATTTGAAACACATGGTGTTTGAATTTGGTGGGATTGCCCACTTGAAATGGCATCCCACAATGTTTGTATTTTCTTGTGCCACGGCCAATACTCGCCACAATAAATAAGTATAAATTCTATACTGAGTTTTGTGTTATTTTCTCTGTATAAATAATGCATTTTATTTTATGGGTTGTATTCAAGCATTTTTTTTAAAAATTAACACCATCAAAAGCTAAGGAAACGGCGTCATATTAGGATGAAATTGTATCATTTTGAAGCACCATATCAACCAAAATATCAGCACCAACTCCAAGTCAATTTATTCTCTCATACCATCTAGTGATACATGAGGTTCTATGTACAATATACTAGTAAACAAAGACAGCATACAAGTGAGAATGGCGATATAATTCAAGTGTTCTTTAAATAAAAGTAAACGATGAAATTTAATTATGATATTGTCCTCTAAATTTTTTTTTCAATTTAAATATGCATATGATCATAGTCATGTTGAATATTTTATTTGCTAAGATAAAGTATATCAGGAAAGACAATATTAAGAAAATAACTGCTCACAAACGCTAAAAAAAATTATTGTACGTATTTTATAGCTAGTCTGTTGTGGCGCTCTAGGGTGATGCTATTCTATTATAATTAGGAGGTAACATTTACCAGATATATCATTTGTAGTTAAAGTGTTTATTAGAATTATTTATATTTTAAGTTGTACTAATCTATTAACGGTTCATATCTAGCCATGTACATCAGTTTACCGTCATATTGGTGATTTTGTTACTTACATCCGTCCTGTCATTGATATAGCACATTCTTATTTTCGTATTGTTTTTTGCTTTATTTCACTAAGTAATGATAAAAATCACATTTCACCATTATTAAAGATTATCATACAAACACTAGATTTACAAATTATACATATCTTAATCTTTTTATTCACAAAGAATTAAAACATAGTACATGTAAAAAAAGAATAACTTCATTAAAACAGACCATTACATGGTTTATACACAATTCATAACAGATTATTATAACAGATATGTACCAAAATAAAACAACCTTTATATTTTTATTTGTATTAAACTGTGATCACAATTCATGAACCCGCATACGTAAGCAACATTGTGATGAAAAATTTGGTCTCGATCACTACCATACTCAGCCCCGTAGGAATGAGGGTGAGGGAGGGGCATATGCTTGTAGGGCATATTTTACGATATATTTATTGTCTATTAAGTATGGTCCTTACCCTTCCATTAGAGGTAGAAAAAGTATCACAGATAATATAAAGGAGCATCTCAAACTCCAAAATAGACATAGATAATATTTATAAAGAAACATCTCAAACTCCAAAATAGTCTTTTGGCACAAAAAAACTCACGTGAAAAATTTGTACAAAACCAAGTGCATTGTAGATATTTGTGAGATCTCAAAGCTTAAGTGTATGATAATTCCAAAAAATATACGATTTTCTGTAACATGCGATACAGAAAATTTGAATAATCTGTACATCACTGTTTCTGCGCATGTCTTACAGCTTTACATCTTCTGTACATTGGTCTACATTTAAATGTATGAAGAATGCAAGCAAATCACACAACAGAGACAAGCTTTTTTTTTATTCGACCGAAAGTAAATTTCTGAGATAAATTAAAAAAAAAGATTCGTTTTTCTGATATGTTTTGTATTCACGAAGATATTCAGAATTTAAAACAAAAATATTCAAACTTTCCTTTCAAATGGATAAACGTATCCTTTGCTAACAATTGGCCCTCTGCTGTGTAAGAACAAAACAGGCCATACTGATACTTTAACAACACTACCGTTAGTTTTATATAATTTATAATAGTCTTTATTTATTGCCTCCCCCTCTGTGGCCCACGTGATCACCATAGGCGGATCCTGTATGCACATTAACCACGTGACCTCTATACAGACGTCAATGTAAGCTAGAATTGGTTTTGGTAACTGGCGTGGCTCCAGCTGGAAGTTTTTTCTCAGCATTTGTTTTTTGAAGACCTGCAGCAAAATTTTATGTTACATTTACATGCATACTCTGATTGTACTATCAATGGAGTTTATCAATTTATATGTAGCTTGTTAAGAAATAATAATGGACGATTGCTCGGTTAAACTAAAAGCGAATTTCTCTAAATGTTATCAGATTAGTTTAAATTTACGGACAATAAAGTTACCTCTTGTAACTCTGGAACAGACTTCAGACCTGCTGCTTTTCTGAATTCCTTAGAATGTCTGTTACAAACTGATCGCAGCACTTTTCCTTGGCTTTCGTCAAGACGCACATCCACTGAACCAACTGACGACGTAAGATTGGTCTAAAATATAGTACTCCAGATATTAAACAATTTTCAGTCAAATGGTATTCCTTGAGTGAAAAAAAAATGATGCACTGTTCTTAAAATTGAAAATACCTTGCTGTTTAGAAGTAAGATGCAATGCTTACTGAATTGGACATGGAATTTCCATGGAAAGACGCCGGATGTAGAATGTGTCTCTCCATTGATAGCGACAAGTCGGACAGTTGAGTCTCTGAGGCCTTTTTGCAGAAGTCATACGCATACTGAAAGTATTTATATCTCTAAATGATTTTCTATTTAAAATTTATCTAAAATTTTCGAGAAATTTGAGTAATAGGCATTATTCAAGACATTTAAATTGAATATATAATCGCAATATTTGCTTTTCGGTCCTCATTGTACGCATTAAGTGGTTTAGTTCGTTATATTACCTACCCTAAGTATTCTCAGAAGAACCCGTAGACACTCCTCCTCTGTGTACCTGAGCTGAGTCTGGAAGGCATCATAGGCATCCGACCACTCCTCGTCATACAGACTTCCGAACTTCTCCCCAATCTTTGTTGGTCTGTTCTTGTCGCTCAAGTCAGCCATGTTTGGGTTACCTGCCAGCAGCTGTTTGCTAGCAAAACTACTTAATCTGTAAAACATGCACTCTTTTCTAGTAATCAAATTTATCATTATGGAGAAAACGGCCCTCCAACATCTACACTACAGGTTTTATGTCAGATCATGAATTTAAGCACTGTTACTCTTACCTGGTTGTGAGTTCCTCTATTTGCATCTCTTGCTGTTTAATTTTTTTGTGTAGACGATCGTACTCCTCTTTGGAGATAAAGATTGACCCGGACCGATGCTGACTTTTGTAAGCCTGAGAAGAGGGAGGTCTGGAAGCAGAGGTGATGCTTCTGTTTACATAGTTATCTTTACTTGATCCTTTAGTAATGCTGTTACTGAAATCCGGTTTGTTCGCTGAAGTATTGACGGCCTTGTATAGTGGTTTAGTTATGAAGTATTCTTGATGCACGGCTTTCATTGGTCCTCCTTTATTTGGAGCGTGATGGTTTGGAGTCGGTGTTTGTGGTTTACGTTTTACAAGAAGGGATCCACTCAGATTTTGTCTTATTTGTGGTTCTCTTGGGGAGCCATCGGCCTAAAGTTTTATTCAAAATAAAGAAAATATGTGCATTAAAAGATCAGTATGAAAATGTCTCAAACTTGTACTGAATATACAAACATTTACTATCACTTTTAGTTTTCATGTATATCAGTCATGTTATTTTGTATAGGATTTGATAACTCACAGACTGCTGAATTATTTCTTCATAAGCTCTTGCAGATCGCTGTAAAGCATTCAGTTCTCTCAGAGCATCATTAGAAAGATTCTTGACAGGAGTTTCCATTGATTTTTGTATGATATGAAACAGCTGGGGTCCCCACATTTGGTCTATGTGATAAGACGCTTTTGGCTGAGATTCGGATGTTTTCTGAAACTATATGTTATCTGTATCAACTGTTGTTACATGTAAGCCACTAGCATCCAAGATTAAAGGAAAGTTATTCAGGGTCAAGTATTAGTATATACATGTACCACTCAGTTTGCATCTCTTAACGTTGAGAATTGCATTTTTTTCGTGTCGAGATTTAATATTTATTACTAGTTATATGGTTCTGTCAATTTGTTTAAACTTACAGAATAGGCACGTCCTTCTCAAATGAGTATATATGACTATTGAAAACAAGGCTTGTAGTCAAGCCAATTAAAAAGTGTCTGAGAGAAACGAACGACAACTCTGCAAGGGAGATTAATGCAGCATCCGAAGCATGGTAGCGCACATTCATGCAAATTTTGTCCATGTAGAGCTTATAGCTATTTGGACACAGACTTGCCCTAAAATTATTACATGTAACCTGGTCAATCATGCGGTATAAATGTTGATCAGATCCAGAGTCCGAAGCACTATAGTGTACTTCGCTGGATGCATCATAAAGTCAAATTTGCTCACAATACAACTTATAGTTACTTTGGAATGGATCTCATTCGTAAAATTTGGTCATTCATCCGGAAAATGTAGACCAATATATCTGAAAGTTTGGTAGTGTGCATCCCTTGATGCATTATCTAAGCTTATGTTGCGGCTTAAGATTACTATGAAATGGACCTTCAATTTCATCTGGAAAATGTAGGTCAGATCCAGCACTCGAAAAAAGGTCTGCTATTATGCGTCCCTAGGCGCTTCATTCAAGTCAGTCTGGTCTGCGTAGGAAATTAATTTATTCTGGAATTAAAACTTTAACCGAGACGCCGACGGCGGGGATACAGCTCCGTTGAAGTGAGCTAATTATTGAGCACTGAAATTTTAAATGAATTGCTCCTGATTTTAATTTAATTTGTTCATGTCGGAATTGCAAATGTATCATTTTCACTTGAAAATATACCAACTCTTTTTGGATCTAATTGTTTAAGTTTCTTTTCCAATGCCATCAGTTCTGTATATTCCATTTTGGCCATCATAATCACGCTCTGCTCGACATGCTGTCCCATTCTACTCAGCAGTTTTTCTAGGTTAGTCCTGTAATGTTCCTCCAGTCCTGGGGGCTTGATGTCCACTGTTCCTTGACCGTATACTTTCTCGAGGGATCCATGTTTTGGTTGCTTAATTATGCGACCAAATGATGACCTCACAACTAAATTGTTGAAGATAATAAGAATATGTCAAAATAAATATAGTAAGATAATAAAACGTACAGGCGAGACCATTGAACGTACGCGCTAGATACCCAGGTTGAGATGCGAATTTGAGTGAATTTAAACTTGTTTTCAGAAGAACCATATGGCAAGAGTATACATTTTAAGTTACATTATCTAAAGGAAAATCCACCCATGCGACGAATCAAATGGTTGTTTTCTATGATAATTCAATTATACAAGGTCAGGTTCTAGAGATAGAATTGTGTATGATACATGTACATCGTATCCAAAGCTTACAATCTTTGCTCAATATTCAGAGATCGCAAGCTAAAAGAGTGAATTCAATTACGCGACAGTTTACGTTAGTGATTTGATTCTACTTTCGGTTTCACTTACCTTCAGCCATTTTGGTAGAAAGATGGAAAATGAACGCTAAAAGACTCAGCCTAAGTGGTTGTCTTTTTTATGAAAAAAATTATCTAGTTTAGTAAAAAAAAAAAATGTAAAAATCCAGGTTTAAATCAAAATTGACTATTCTTCTTTTTAATTCTACAGGTAGTTAGACCTGTTAAATGTCCATTAGCTTCGATAAACAATAGGAAATCAATACATGAGGTTCTATACGGGGTTGACTCAAAAGACGATTTGTAATCTCATACACCGTGGGTGTTTTGAAGGAGGAAAATTAAACGGTAAGAAAGGTAACTCGATCGATCTAACGTACTTAATTAACTTAAAATGGTTTGAATATTTGGTATATACATGTATCTGTATCTTTATTTGTCATACAAATATTTCAACAACAAAAATCTTACTTGAATTATTTATGGCCAAAAAAAAAAAAAATAAAATAAAATAAAATAAAATAAAACAAATAAACTTTACATTACATGTTTGTGGACTGATAATGATTGGCTTCTTGTTTACTACAAGATAATAATCATTAAAGTTGCATTATGAGTCAAAACCATGTGTTTCTTTTAAGAAAATTGTATCACAAAACAAAAGATTTCTGTGAAATATGAATATAGCGAAGTTTTGACAACTCAACTGCACTGTAAAGCAAGAAAAAAAACTGCAAAATATAAGTGCCGAAAAACAAATGTTGTATCTATCGCTTTGTTTTTATCGTCAATGTAAACAATGTCAAGGTCACGCGTCCTTTATTTTTAGCGTGAAACTTGTAAACAACATTGAATTGGGGCAAGCAGAAGTAAGCAATATGTTATGATCATCTTTTTTGAAGATTGTATCAAAATTCTCAGTCATCCACATTTATATCTATGGAATTGAAACCATGGTAAATTTTTCAACTTTTTAGCGCATGCGTACAATAAAGAGGAAGAGGTGAAGCAATATTTTTGTGATGGGTTATACCAAGATTTTTTTTACTCTTATTTTCTCCATTAAATTAGATTTTTTAGGTTCTGAAACCTGTAATTTTCTGAAACCTAATATCTTCAAGAACTGAACAAAATTAGCATTTGTCATGCAAAAATTCTACTGTTGTCAATTTTCCCGTTTGTCCGTCACAGTGTCACTTTAATAAAGTAACAAGTTCATCTATCTAAATAAGAAACGATTTTGTTGGCATAGCAAAAAGGAAACATTGAAAAAAGGCGTTAAAATCTGCCTACAACGCACATTTTCTGCTGATTATATTACTTGGACTCGGAGATACATGTATTTAGAAATATGCATGTATGCTGACGTTATTCGTCTTATGTTTTGGACGAAAATTTACCAAAATAATTTCATAGAAAACTTAGACACGAAGAAAGATATCTCGATTATTTTTATCTCATCTCGATTTATATTTATACCTCATAAAACCAGATCTAAATTTACTTATATACAAAACTTTTAAACGCAAGTTGTTTAGAAAAAGGCAGTCTTTTTCCACTTTAACTTTTAAGTTATACATTGTAGCTCCGTTAATAACCAGAATCCTTTCATCTTTGATATTATGCAATAAGACCGCATCCTGGCAGATTATTATCAGCCCCTCCCTTTGACAAAGGGGGGCAATTTTATGCCCCCGTATCGAAGATTCGGGGATGTATAGTTTTTGTCCTGTCCGTCCGTCTAGCTGTCTGTTTATCTGTTTGTTTCTTTGTCCGCAAAAACTTTAACATTGCTCATAACTTTTGATTGGTTGGAGAAATAGCTGAGCTTTCATATTTCACATGTGTATTCCTTGTGACAAGACCTTTCTTTGGGTACCATCATATTTGACCTTTTGACCTTTGAGTTTGACCCAGTTTTACAAAATTTTACCCAACTTTAAGCTTGGCCATAACTTTTGAACAGTTGGTGCTAGGGCTTTCATACTTCACATGTGTATTTCTTGTGACAAAACCTTTCTTTGGATACCAACAATTTTGACCCTTTGACCTTGACCTAGGAGTTTGACCTACTTTTGAAAAACTTTAACTTTGGCCATAACTTTTGAATAATTGATGCTAGGGCTTTCATACTTCACATGTGTAATCCTTATGACTAGTCCTTTCTTTGGATGCCAACAAACATATAGTCATATTTATAGGAAGCATCCTCAGGACGTGTAGATTGAAGTTAATTCAAATTATGACCCCCGGGGGAAGGATTGATCCACTATGGGCGGTCAAAGTTTTACACTTATATATATATATATATATATATATATATATATATATATATATATATATATATATATATATATATATATATATATATATATATATATATATATATATATCTTTAATAATCCTTTTCTCAAGAACAGCAAATCCATGGTTAGCCATGCCTGTACTTATATGGAAGTATCCTCGGATAGTGCATAATCAAGTCTGTTTAAATCATGACCCCACAATGGACGATCAAAATTTTACAAAGAAAAATCTTTTTCTCAAGAATAACAAAACCATGCTTAATCATATTTATATGTAAGTATCTTCAGGTAGTATAGATTCAAGTTTGTTCAAATTATGACCTTCGGATAGGGTGGGTTCAACGGGGGAAATCAAAGTTTTACATGGGAATATATAGGAAAAACTCTAAAAATCTTCTCAAGAACAGCAAAGTCATGATTATATAGCAATATTTTGTACGGAAGCATCCTCAGGTTGTGTAGATTCGATTTAATTCAAATCATGACTTCGGGGGTAGGGTGGGGTCACAATACATGTATGTTATCAAAGTTTTACATAGGAATATATGACTGGGAATTCTGCTGATGAAGAACACCAGGGCCATAGTGGCTCATGTGAGCTTATGGTCCATGGGCCTTTTAACCCAGCATTTTGATGCATGATATGAAAGTGTGTCATTAAGGCGTTTTGTACGTACGTGTATAGCTGTAACCTTTGAACTCAAAGAAAAACTACTTGCTTTTGGGCCTGGAAAACACTTTCGGGATAGATTCCTTTAATTTTTTAGTATAGCTTATTAGGAAATTTGCACATATGAACGTTATAACAGATATATGAATGTGTCCATTACCATTATTATGTTATATTTATTACCGACCTTTGAATCAAAACCAAGAGAGGACAAATGTTTTTCTGTACTGTGGAAAAAATTCTCTCTATCATTTACATTTGCGAGTGGAAAAAGAACACAAATCAAAACAAAAATTCGTAATTGATGCAAAAAATCTGTAACTCAAACAGAGCCTTATATGTATGGCATGTCAAACGTTGCAATATTCGATCTTTTCCATTTGCATTGTATAATTTTCCATTTGTATTGTATAATTTTTATTTGTATTGTATAATTTTCTATTTGTATTGTATAATTTTTCATTTGTATTGTATAATTTTTATTTGTATTCTATAATTTTCTATTTGTATTGTATAATTTTCATTTGTATTGTATAATTTTTATTTGTATTGTATAATTTTCCATTTGCATTGTATAATTTCTTATTTGTATTGTAAAATTTCTTATTTGTATGCGATAATTTTTCATTTGTATTGTATCCGCGGACTGTTTATTTGTTTCGTTACGAAGGATTTCATTGGTCAAGTTTCAGCCTGTATCGGGTTGAAGATGTTCCGGATGCTCAAAGCAAACTGGGCTCATATGTATTTGCTTGATTGATTGATTGATTATTGTTTAACGCCGAGTCGGTAATATTTCAGCCATATTTCGGCGGCATGTGTATTTGCGTGCATGTTAGACGGTCATTGGATTCTAAAAAGGGAGCGCTGGTAGATGGCAAATAAATAATCTGTCCTTAGAAATGCTGACTGAGAAAATAAATAAATTGACCTTGAGTGGTGGTAACTACCCCCACCCCCCAAAAAACTGAGTTTTCGGGTTTGGGCGGATTTTCTTCTTTTTGTTTTTCTCCTTGTCTCTGGTCATATTGGAAATAAATATTCTCTCCTGCGAGAGAATGAAAATAAATAATCGGATTCGACACCCCCCGAGAATCAAATGGTCGTCCCTTAGCATGCACCGCAAATAGAGGAGCCGAGTGTGTGTTTGTAGAGAGTGCGCGATCGGAATTGTGGGGAGGGTACCAGACTAAGTTTGTGATGGGCACCTGAGACCTTTATACAGACTAAATTTTATGACCAATGACATCCTTCGTAACGAAATAAATAAACAATCCTCGGATACAATACAAATGAAAAATTATCGCATACAAATAAGAAATTATACAATACAAATAAGAAATTATACAATGCAAATGGAAAATATAGAATACAAATGAAAAATTATACAATACAAATAAAAATTATACAATACAAATAAAAATTGTACAATACAAATGGAAAGTTATACAATACAAATGGAAAAGATCGAATATTGCAACGTTTGACATGCCATATATATGTGACTTTCCAAATCCAAAAAAAACCCCAAGTAAATTAAAAATAAATCCTTTTTATTGATAAATAATATGATTAAAACTATTTTTTAATTTTTTTTCACCATTTACAATTTTTCCAAGAATCTTGTATACTAAGCGTTGATAAAGGTGTATGTGGGACCGTAGCGGGAGCGACGAATTGCTTCTCTCATTGAGAAGCACTAGCCAAACTGAAGTAGACAGATAATGTAAACAGAAAATAATTATTTCTCACCTAAAATGCATGTGTAACACATTTTTTTTTATCACCGAAAGGCTTAATGTGATTGGTTGAGAGATACATGTAAGAAAAACAATCAAGATTGTATTTTTTTCCGAAAGACGTCGCTGCAGTCAACGTGCACGTAAGATATCGAATGAAATTTGTCGGGGGTCCAACGGCAACGACTTGAGTATTTTTAGCCGGCTATTGTTAGCCAGTTCAAACAGGAAGTGATTGAACAGACCCGCCAAATTAAATTAACGTGTAAAAAAGTAGTACTTACTCTCAGCCGCCGAAGAGACATAAAAACGTTTTATATAACAACCAAAATAAACATCAATAGTAA